CCGAATAAAAGATCCTAAATCTAAATCTGCATTCTGATGAATTCTGGTTTTAAGATACTGATATAACATTCAATTTTGTAATAGAATGGACTGTCCAAAAGAAAATCTTCATAGATCAAAATTAACAAAAACATCTCATAATGTTCTTTTTAGAATTGAATGTGATAGAATTGACAGCAGGTCCTGGGGAAGTATTTTCCTTTGAGGAACTTGAAGAAGTTTTGATAAAAAATAAACCAGTGGCTTTGTTTATGACCCATGGAGAATCATCAGGAGGAACTTTACAACCTTTGGACGGACTTGGTGACATATGCCATAAGTAAGTAATTTTTACTTTATTGGCTACCCCACACTGGAAAAACTGATGTTTTTGCCGATCCACTCACTCAATATATCAGTTTTCCAGCAAGACAAGAATCTAGGCCAACTTCACAATATTTTCAAACAATTTTTAGGCATAACTGTCTACTAGCAGTGGACGCTGTAGCATCTGTGGGTGTTGCTCCAATTTTCGTGGATCGTTGGGGTATAGATGCCATTAATGGAGGCTCTCAGAAAGGATTAGGGGCTCCTCCCGGAATGTGTTTACTTTCATTTAGCCCTAGAGCTTAGTATGTACGATATTTAATGTGCCTACCCAATTGAATAAACGTTTTTATTTTTAGTGAGAAAATTGTGTCAAAAAAACATCCACCTCCGCATGTTTTGGATGTTCAATTATTGGCTTCAGTGTGGGCTTGTTTTAACGAGCAAAGAGGGTACTGGATTTTTAAAAACCTCACACCAATCTTATACAATTTTTTTCAGATACATTTATTCCTACAGCAGTAATATGCTAGCTGCGGTCAGACAAGCGTTAGTTCATATATGTGAAGAGGGTCTGGAAAATGTTTGGAAGCGACATAAGGAAAGCAACGAACTATTGGTGGAACTATCCATAAAAGAGTTGAATTGTACTCACTTCGTTAAAAAGATTGAAAATCGCTTTGCAGGAATAAATTGTATTGTATTGCCTGAGGATGTAAAATGGAAACTAGTTCATCAATACTGTCTGGAAAAGTAAAAACAATAGTGTCCCATAAACAACTTTGGTTATAAATATATTTTTTTAGATATAGAGCTGATATAAGCTTTGGCATAGGCCCAACAGCAAATAAAAGCATACGTGTGGGTCTTTTAGGTCTTAACGCAACTCCTGAAACCGCAAGATACGTCATCAATATGCTAAAAGATGCTTTAGATTATGCCAGAAAAAATGTAAACCCTCCTACTGATTTTGTGTTTTTTAATAGTAAATAAGTTTATTTTCTACTCCTATTGCATATTATTGACATTATTTGGGTCCTTGTGAATAATAGCCTGCATATCTCTCGTATAATAGGTAATATACTATTAAATTTAAATTTTACTTTTATTTTCTTAAATCAATTTAATTTTCCATTTATTTTTCTTTGTAATAAAGGTTATATTTTTAAATGTGTATATTTTCCAAAAAAGAATAATTTTTTCAAACAAGACAATTTTTATTTTTACAGGTTTTATTTTTTTTTCAAATTATTTGATTTTTTCCCTAATTTTCAAATGGCCCTATAATTTTGTAATTACACAACTTTTCTATAATTAAAGTGATCTTGTAGCAATTCAAATAAAAGGAGGATAATAGGCAACCCAGGTTACGCCCCAGCATTTTTTTCAAGCACTTCAAATATCGACTTGTTTGGAACTGATAAAAAATGGCATTTTTTTAAGTGTTTTACTTGTTAATGGAATATAATTTTTTTAATAAAAAAATTCTCTGTAAGCAATTTAATGAGAAACCTTTAACCACTTATCCAAATTTGTATTTTATTTTACTTATTTATTTATTTTATTGTATACCTATTTAACTGTATAATAGTTTAACAAAATAGTTCTATAACTGGTACCGCCAAACCATTTTAATTTTCTTAATTTTTTACTCCACATTGCTCTTTTCTGACTGACCTTAAAATCTTGTTATAAAATTGTAAATCAAGTTTTATATATTTATAATCTTGATTTTGTACAAATTTTATTTTTTTTTCTAGTATCAAGTGGCGGCACTGATTTAAAAATGTATAATTATAAAATTTTAACCTTGACTTTGAACATTTTTTAATTTAATTGAAGCAGTAATAATGCCTAATAGATTAAATTTAATACCCTGAGATCTTAGTTATTAAGTATCAAAAGTATATTTTAAATAAAACAAATATTGATAATAAACTTAATAGTATATTATGTATCAAGTTTTATAAACGCCATTTTAGTTACGAGTTTAATTAAGCATGAGCGAAGCTTGCAAGCGAGTGTTTAATAAAAACGAGTGTCTAGAGAAGTTTATAAACGAGTTGCATACTATACTTTATCTACGACGAACACAAAACAGAATTTAAAGCCAATTTTATTTGTTAAAATTTTGACATCTGTCAACTGTCACCCGAATTTAACCTCACTTTTTCCCAGTTTAAAATAAAGCTAACTTCAGCCCGTGACGTAAAATGTCGAAAAGCCACTGTTGTTAACTTCAGCCCGTCAATAAAACGCCATAAAGTTACAGCTCGTCAATGTAGGAGTAGATAAATACTTTTAAAATTCACAAAATTAAGTAATTTTTATCTACTTTTACAGGATTTTTAATTTTGTATTAATTTTTTAACATCTTCTGAAATTTTCATCAATTTTTTATAAATGTTGAATCGCACGCTAAATTAAACAAATGATTTTTTCTCTAAAATGTATAATGTAAATGTAAAATTTAAAGGCTTGAAAAAATTGTATATAAAACTCGGCGGCTATCGCCTCGGAAGTGAAATGTATGCTCGACTATAATATGTGCTTTCTCCGCCTGGTCTATAATGTACTATTTGATGGATATCAAAATTTAATTTAATTATCGTTAAGTTAAAAGTCAAGTTTATCTTTATCTTTATTTAAATATATAATATAATTATACCTGTTGTAAAATTTTAATAACAAATTTTTATTTTTTTGTAAGTAACTACAAATACTTGTGATATTATTAAGTGCACCAGTTATATACTACTAAACCCATAGAACTATTCGTCGGAAGTTGTTAATTAAAATCGTAATTATTATTTTCCAGGTGTAAGTCATTTAACTCGAAAATGTCTACAAAACTCGACGTGCAAAATCCTTACCAAAAACCCGGTAGAATATTCGACCTCCCGTATATTCTACAACTAGGTGCGGGGCCCACGAATTGTACCATCGAAACTTTAAACATTTTGGGCAGTCAACCCATATTCCCGACAGGTAACACATTTGTTGGGGTAAGAAATTACATTTACTTTGTGAAAGTCTTCTACTCTCCATTTGTTTTCACAGCTTTTAAATGATATACAATCCATGCTAAGGTATTTGTACCAAACTAGGAACCCATGTACGTTGGTTGCCCAAACTTCTGGCTCTGGAGGAAATGAAACCATGATTGTTAATTTGACAGAACCGGGGGAAACTGTTGTGGTGGCATGCACTGGCGTCTGGGGTATACTGGTTGCCAAGATTGCCAGAAGACATAGTAAGAATTAACCGTATAAAAGATCCTAAATCTAAATCTACATTCTGATGAATTCTAAGTGCTGGTTTTAAGATACTGATATAACATTCAATTTTGTAATAGAATGGACTGTCCAAAAGAAAATCTTCATAGATCCAAATTAACAAAAACATCTCATAATGCTCTTTTTAGAATTGAATGTGATAGAATTGACAGCAGGTCCTGGGGAAGTATTTTCCTTTGAGGAACTTGAAGAAGTTTTGATAAAAAATAAACCAGTGGCTTTGTTTATGACCCATGGAGAATCATCGGGAGGAACTTTACAACCTTTGGACGGACTTGGTGACATATGCCATAAGTAAGTAATTTTTACTTTATTGGCCACCCCACACTGGAAAAACTGATGTTTTGGCCAATCCACTTACTCAATATATCAGTTTTCCATCAAGACAAGAATCTAGGCCAACTTCACAATATTTCCAAACAATTTTAGGCATAACTGTCTGCTAGCAGTGGACGCTGTAGCATCTGTGGGTGTTGCTCCAATTTTCGTAGACCGTTGGGGTATAGATGCCATTAATGGAGGCTCTCAGAAAGGATTAGGGGCTCCTCCCGGAATGTGTTTACTTTCATTTAGCCCTAGAGCTTAGTATGTACGATATTAAATGTGCCTACCCAATTGAATAAACGTTTTTATTTTTAGTGAGAAAATTGTGTCAAAAAAACATCCACCTCCTCATATTTTGGATGTTCAATTATTGGCTGCAGTGTGGGCTTGTTTTAACGAGCAAAGAGGGTACTAACTAGATTTTCAAAAACCTCACATCAATCTTATTCAATTTGTTTCAGATACATTTATACTTACAGCAGTAACATGCTAGCTGCGGTTAGACAAGCGTTAGTGCATATATGTGAAGAGGGTCTGAAAAATGTTTGGAAGCGACATAAGGAAAGCAACGAACTTTTGGTGGAACTATCCATAAAAGAGTTGAATTGTACCCACTTTGTTAAAAAGATTGAAAATCGCTTTGCAGGAATAAATTGTATTGTATTGCCTGAGGATGTAAAATGGAAACTAGTTCATCAATACTGTCTGGAAAAGTAACAACAATAGTGTCCCATAAACAACATTGGTTATAAATATATTTTTTTAGATATAGAGCCGAAATGAGCTTTGGCATAGGCCCAACAGCAAATAAAAGCATACGTCTGGGTCTCTTAGGTCTCAACGCAACTCCTGAAACCGCAAGATACGTCATCAATATGCTGAAAGATGCTTTCGATTATGCCAGAAAAAATGTAGAATAATGAATATTAAAGTAAATTAATGTCACCTTGTCTTATCTGTTGTTTGCATGCAAAATTTGTTTTTAAACCTTAATACAATAGTCTCTTAGTCCCTTAATACCCAGGGTTCTAAAAATCTAAATTGGGCGTTGTAAATAAATCAAGTGAAATTTTGGTAATTAAAACCAGCCGAAAAAGTCACTTATTTGGCCGCTTTCATTATTTCTCTTTTATTGTCGTTTTTGTGGCCCTGGTACACAAGTAACTATTTTACAACTTAAACAAACATTTATTATTTTTTGACTTCTGTAAACCTCCTTGTAGAACTTTGAGAACTTTGTCGACATTCTCTGGTTTTGCGTTGTAACCCATAAGCCCAATTCGAAATACTTTATTAGCAGTGGGACCCAAACCTCCACTGAGTTCCAAATTAAAACTAAAAAACATGGCAATAATTTTCCATTACAATTTCATATTATTTCTTACTGTTTTATAGCATATCCAACAACATCCAACCAGTTCACACCATCAGGAACTTTGATGGTCGTGACAGTAGGCAATCTTTTATGCACTTCCTCCACAAACGGTTCTAATCCCAATTTTTCCAAACCATCGTAGAGTCTCTTGGCACAATCCCGATGTCTCTTCATTAGTTCCTCCAAACCTTCTTCCACCACCAAGGCTAGACCTTCCCTTAGAGCTACCAATAAAGATGATGAGACTGTATGATGGTATCTGAAGTAGATGGAATGAGAAAAATAATATTGAATATTATTGCCAAGAGGTGTTTTGAGTAGGATAAGCAGCTAAGGAAGTGGTCAGGAAAGGTTTTTATAGGTCTTGGTGCAAGATTTATTTTGCAATTGTCTTTGGTTATAAGGAAATTGTATAGAATACGTAAAATATTCATAAAAAGGAAAAATAACGTATTTACCATAAAACTTACATTCTAGGTCCCTCAAAGCAGTTCCACTGCTGGCCTATCTGCGTAATATCTAAGTAATAAATTTGAACAGGTGTTTTTCTACTAAATATAATTTTTCTAAAAGCAAAACATTACTAAATTTGTAATCATTATTATATTTTTGAAGTACTGTGCTCTTGAACTGAACGAGATGGGAGTTATGCCTGGAGGAACACCAAGAACTTTTTGCGATCCCGTATAGATGGCGTCGATGTTCCATTGGTCGACTAATAAAGGTACTGCTCCTAGTGAAGCTACGGTATCAACTGCTAATAAACAATTATATCTATAAACAATAAAGTTATTATTATAATTTTGTATTTTTATTGATTTACCTATGACATATATCTCCTATGCCCTCCAAAGGTTGGTAGACACCGGTGGAACTCTCACCTTGTACAATGAAGAAAACTTTCGGTTTCACACTTTGTATGGCATTTTGTATTCTAGCCAAGCTGAAATTATCGCCCAATTCTGTGTCTATGGTTTTTACAGTAGCACCACATCTATTGGCCATATCTTCAGCCCTTTGTCCCCATATGCCATTTTTGGCTATCAAAATTGTATCACCTTCTTCTATAAGGTTGCACATGACAGCCTCCATTCCACCGTGACCGGAGCATGATAGAGCCAAAGTCAAAGTATTGTTAGTTTGAAAAATATATTTTAAACCTTCTTTAATGTCATCCATAATCTTAAAAATCGCAAAAAACTACAAATCTGAATTCAAACATTTAAAAATATGTTACCTGGAATGTTTCCGGATGCATGTGGCCCAAAATAGGCTGTGATAAGGCTTTTAGAACCCTAGGTGGACAGTTAGAAGGTCCAGGACCCATCAGCAACTTATTTGGTACATTTACATTTTTTTTTAAACATTCTGGTTTAGGCACATCCATTGTGAAATTAACGAATTGAACTACACAATAAATGCTGAAAGTTATCTTCATTCAACTCTTATCAAAGTTGTGACCCCGGGTCATATAATATTAATTTATTTGTTTTAGTTTACAATCTTTTATTGTAAATATAAATAAATAAGACACGGTAACATTAATTTACTTTAATATTCATTATTTTACATTATCTGCCATCAAAAAACTCAATATCAGTAGGAGCGTTTACATTATTTCTGGCATAATCGAAAGCATCTTTTAGCATATTGATGACGTATCTTGCGGTTTCAGGAGTTGCGTTAAGAGCTAAGAGGCCCACGCGTATGCTTTTATTTGCTGTTGGGCCTATGCCAAAGCTTATTTCGGCTCTATATCTAAAAAAATATATTTGTAAACAATGTTGTTTATGAAATACTATTTATGTTACTTTTCCAGACAGTATTGATAAACTATTCTCCATTTTACATCCTCAGGCAATACAAGACAATTTACTCCTGCAAAGCGATTTTCAATTTTTTTAACGAAGTGGGTACAATTCAACTCTTTTATGGATAGTTCCACCAATAATTCGTTGCTTTCCTTATGTCGCTTCCAAACATTTTGCAGACCCTCTTCACATATATGAACTAACGCTTGTCTAACCGCAGCTAGCATGTTACTGCTGTAAGTATAAACGTATCTGAAAAAAAGTGTTTTAGATTGGTGTGAGGTTTTCAAAAATCTCGTACCCTCTTTGCTTGTTAAAACAAGCCCACACTGAAGCCAATAATTGAACGTCCAAAATCTGAGGAGGTGGATGTTTTTTTGACACAATTTTCTCACTAAAAATAAAAACGTTTATTCAATTGGGTAGGCACATTTAATATCTTACATACTAAGCTCTAGGGCTGAATGAAAGTAAACACATTCCGGGAGGAGCCCCTAATCCTTTCTGAGAGCCTCCATTAATGGCATCTATACCCCAACGATCCACGAAAATTGGAGCTACACCCACAGATACTACAGCGTCCACTGCTAGTAGACAGTTATGCCTAAAATTGTTTGGAAATATTGTGAAGTTGGCCTAGATTCTTGTCTTGCTGGAAAACTGACATATTGAGTGAGTGGATCGACCAAAACATCAGTTTTTCCAGTGTGGGTTAGCCAATAAAGTAAAAATTACATACTTATGGCATATGTCACCAAGTCCGTCCAAAGGTTGTAAAGTTCCTCCTGATGATTCTCCATGGGTCATAAACAAAACCACTGGTTTATTTTTTATCAAAACTTCTTCAAGTTCCTCAAAGGAAAATACTTCCCCAGGACCTGCTACCAATTCTATCACATTCAATTCTAAAAAGAACATTAGATATGAGATGTTTTTGTTAATTTTGATGTATGCATTTATATCATATCTATACTAAAAATGGATTTTATCTTGAACACTGCATTCTATTACAAAATTGATATTTATTTAAGAATCCCAAAAATAGGTTTTTGTTTCATCAGAATGTAAATTTAGATTTAGGATCTTTCAAATGTTTAATTCTTACTATATCTTCTGGCCATATCAGCAACTCTTATCCCCCAGGAGCCGGTACATGCTACTACAACAGTTTCCCCCGGATCTGTCAAATTAATAACCATGGTTTCATTTCCTCCAGTGCCAGAAGTTTGCGCCACCAACGTACATGGGTTCTTCGTTTGGTACAAGTACCTTAGCATGGATTGTATATCATTCATAATCTGTAAACGCAAATGGAATGTTAGTACCCAAATGGAGAGTAAAGGAGACATCCACAAAGAAACATGCAATAATGTAATTTACCACCTCAAAAATTTTGTTGGATATCGGAGTTAAAGGTTGACTGCCCAAAATATTTAAAGTTTCGATGGTACAATTCGTGGGCCCGGCCCCTAGTTGTAGAACATAGGGGAGATCGAATAATCTACCGGGTTTTTGGTAAGGATTTTGCACGTCGAGTTTGGTAGACATTTTCGCGATTACTGACATTGCAAATAATAATTACGATATTAAACTGGCTAACAAGGTGATATATTTTTATCGGCTTCAATTAATTATACTTGAAGTCAAGTACTTGATATTTAGATATTTAGGTATACATAGAAACAGCAACTAAAAAATATTGTTATATAACCAGGTAAAATGTTTATACATACGGCAGATAAAAATATTGCATGTAAATTAGTTTGATATTAAAATTTTGACATTGGCGCGACCTAAAAAATCAATTTTTTTTAAATTATTTTCGTAAATTTGTCCAACTTGCTTCAATTATTTTAATCATTGGAAATGAATTTGTTTTTCCTGGAGCCACCTCTTCAAGTTTAAAACCGATAATGGTTGATGGGGCTCAAGTCTGGAGAATGCGGTGGATAGAAAGCAAATTTATGCTCCTACGCCACTGAAATTGCATGTATAATTAAATCGGAAAGCCATAAACTAGAGCAATAATAACTCTAGTTTACAAAATCGAAAAAAAATTCTGCCCACCATATCCCATTATAATTTTGACCCACTGAACACGAAAATCTCACAAATTTTTTTTGAAATATGAATTTTCAATTGTTGTTTTTTTTCAATTTTCGGACATGTTTTGACGTTTTTGAGTATAGCTTGAAATGTAATTGATCGATTTGGTCAAACAAGCCTAAATTGAAGGTATTTGAGCCATCTAAAACTTTCTTTTACAGACTTTTGATATCGGATATTTTGACGCTAGCGATTTTAATAACTTAAAAAATTCGTTTTATGGCAAAAATTTAGGTCGAAAATTTACATATCGTCCTGGAAAAGGTTTAAATCAAACAGATAACTCCAGTTTGAATTTTTTTTCGTCAAGCTGACATTTTTACAAAAAAAACAAGCTAATGTTGATAAAAATACATGGAAAAATGGCGAAGTTATGAATTTTTTAGTGGAAGACCAAAATTCAGCTTTTTGACGAATTTTATTTTAATTTTTTTTCTTTTATTTTGTAATATGTTTTTTTTTTTAATTAAAACCTAATTAAAGTGCTTGATTGGAATTTTTTAAGTTTTTTATGTAGGTACTTTATTCACCGAAAACATTATTTCAAATTTTAAATTTGACTTTTACTGCTATTTTTTGATATTTCAACAAGGTATTTTTAATAAGTAGATATATAGCCACCAGTGAGATTCCTTAAGCTTGGAGTTTGTAACACGCGAGTGGAATTTATTTTTTTGACCAATAGTCGCACACAATATTTTATTTAACTACCTTAATACTATTTGTATAAATTCAATTTTATATGAAGTTTTATCTGACAACTGTTGATCATGCTACAAAATACGTTAAACTTAGATAAAATACAAAATCGCCCTCATTATTTTAATAAGACTCCGTGGCGCAACGGTAGCGCGTCTGACTCCAGATCAGAAGGTTGCGTGTTCAAATCACGTCGGGGTCAAAAACTTTTTTTTTATTTTTAATAATAGTTTTTTGTACTCTTATTGCTTGTTATGAAAATTATTTGTTTCTTTTTGTTTTTTTTCATATATAATGGTAACCAATATAACAGCGAAATTAATAAAGGTAGCAGTGATTGGCTGATTTTAAATTGGGAAAAAGTAAGGTTAACAGATGTCAGATTTTTTTATATATACGAGGGGTAAATATAATCGGAATAATTATAATATATTGTCAATACTCACTACTTAAGTAATTGATTGACGTCTAGGCTCTAAAAATAATTTAGACCAATGGGGTGAAGTTTTTTACCTTCTATAGGCTGTACGTACAGTAAGCTTAGGTAGATCTGACAGTATACTCAGATCTACCTGACGGGTACCCGTCAGGTAGATCTGAGTATACTGTCAGATCTACCTAAGCTTACTTTCCACTTTTAATAATAATAATTATAAAAGTAGTAGGTATATTTTAACAAATAAAATTCTGACTTGGCGTCAATTTTGTAATGCTACCAATTAGCAGCCTTGAATATGAAATAACTTTGGTCCGGTGATTTAAGAACACCCTGTATAAGTAATATTGCTATAGCAAATTTTTGTTTTGTAAATGTTGAATATGGAACAATTTGTTCATAAATTATGTACAAGCAACTGTGGGGTTAACATATTAAATACATTGTATGGACCTACTTTGTAAGATTTAAATTTGTCCATTGTTTAATAAACATAAGTTCATAGGTCTTAAGAAAGAAGTAAAAAAGGTTCAGTTCGGGTTTAAGGCCTTAACGAAAGCGATGTTTTATTACTTGGGGTTCCTAGTGTTTTTCCTTGCTTATATTTACTGGAAAATATCCAGAAGACATGTGGAAAGGCTGGCTTCAAAAATACCTGGAATACCCGATTTACCCATCATAGGTAGCACTTTGGAAATTCTCAATGTTGGATACTCCACTACTCCAACGGATACGTTTAAGAAGGCGTATGATTACCTAACGAAATACGGACGTGTGATAAAATTGTGGCTGGGTCCAAAACTGGTTGTTTTCCTAACAGACCCGTCTGATGTTGAAGTAATTTTAAGCAGCAAGGTGCATATAGATAAAACGCCGGAGTATGGCTTCTTCAAACCCTGGTTAGGAGACGGATTGCTGATTTCCACCGGCGAAAAATGGAGGGCGCATAGAAAGTTAATAGCACCGACTTTTCACTTGAATGTATTGAAGGGTTTTATGGATGTCTTCAATGTGAACAGCAGAGATGTTGTGGAAAAACTGAACAAGGAAGTTGGAAGGGAATTCGACGTTCATGATTATATGTCAGAGATCACAGTGGAAATCCTGCTGGAAACTGCGATGGGAGTCAGCAAACAAAATCAAGATCAAAATGCGTTTGACTACGCTACCGCGGTAATGAAAATGTGCAATATTCTACATCTGCGGACTCTCAAACTATGGTTACGCTCAGATTTCATTTTCAACCTCAGCAAATACGCGAAATCACAGAAAAAATTATTGAACACAATCCACAGTTTGACGCGCAAAGTGATTAAACATAAAAAAGTCGATTACAATAACGGTATAAGAGGTGAAGTTCCAGAGATAGTCGAGAAAGATCAAACAAAACAAACAGTGGACGGTTTGTCTCATGGTTTAAGGGATGACTTGGATGATGACGATGACATTGGCGAAAAAAAGAGAATGGCGTTTCTAGACTTTATGATTGACGCATCGCAAAATCAAGTCGTAATAAGTGATGAAGAAATCAAGGAACAAGTTGACACCATCATGTTTGAAGGTAAGTCTACTTACTTAAGTAATTAGATATCTATCTAATAGATAGTATCTATCCGACCTAATTTTTCTTCTTTATAATACATTAATTTGTGTTATTAGTGACACCTATATCGAACCCTGTACGTATTGATAATTTTATTGGCCTGGGACGTTAACAGTGCCGTTTGTAGGTTTGTTAAATTGATTAAAACATTTTTTAGTAAAAAATGACGCCAAAAACTGATTGCAGTTTCTTGTTCGGGACCCTTTGGTGAATTAAAAATGATATTTACCAAAATCCTAGCTGATCCTTTTTTCGAAATTTTTTCAAAATTTATTATTATTTTTTAAATTTTTGTTTATTTCAAAGTCTACCTTTCACAGAGTACACATTTGTACACCGATTTTTATAAAATTAGAGTATATTATTGAGGAGACTTAAAGAATACTTTTTAATAATGTTCACATCATTTGATATATACAGGGTGGACCAAAAATCGCTTAATTTTAATAAAGCAAAAGCGTAAATTCATGATTTTGGCATAACAAGCAAAACAGATGTATCCCCATTTTTTTTTAGATATTTCTATGTTTATTAGGTTACAAAATGGCATTCTTATTAACCTTTTATTAAAAAAATAGATTTTTAATAAAATTAATTAAAATAACGCTTAGAGAATATTTAAAATGTTGTTTAATTTAGGCTTTTTAGAAGTTTTCAATTTTGAACGAAAAACTGGTTAAAGTTTTTTGATCGGCACTCTTTGGAGATTTAAAAACGGTATTTACCAAAATTCTAACTGCTTTTCTTTAAATTTGTTAAAAAATCATTTTTTTTTAAATTATTTGTTTATCGCAAAGTCTACCTTTGCCAGAGTACAGATTTGTACACCGATTTTTATTGATTGCAGTTTCTTGTTCGGGACCCTTTGGTAACTTTAAAATGATATTTACCAAAATCCTAGCTGCTCCTCTTTTCGAAATTTTTTGAAAATTCTTATTTTTTTTTAAATTTTTGTTTATCTTACCTTTGACAGAGTACACATTTGTACACCGATTTTTATAATATTAGATTTATACAGGGTTAGCCAAAAATCAAGTTTTTATATAGTAAAAAGCATAATGCACAAAACAGATTTATCTCCAAAAAAATTTATTTTATTTAATTTTATTCAAAATCAATTTTTCTTATAAAGTCTTTATAAGAATCCCATTTTGTAGCCTGATAAACATAAAAATATCTAAAAAGACATGGGTGGGTATATATCTTTTTTGCGTGTTATGCCAAAATCATGAATTTACGCTTTTGCTTTATTAAAAGAAGCAATTTTTGGCTAACCCTGTATATATTAAATTATGTGCACAGTATAAACAGTATTCTCCAAATCTCCTAAACAATATACTCCAATATTATTAAAGTCGGTGTACAAATGTGTACTCTGTCAAAGGTAGACAAAAATTTAAAAAAAAAATCATGAATTTTCAAAAAATTTCGAAAAGAGGATCAGCTAGGATTTTGGTAAATATCACCAAAGGGTCCCGAACAAGAAACTGCAATCAGTTTTTGGCGTCATTTTTATGTGACCTAAACTTCGTTCAGGGACACTGTGACAACTTGTTTACGCTTCATTGGACGTCCGTTGTATTTAGAACACCTTTGACACCATTTTAGGGCATGACACTACAGCAGCTGCTAGCAGTTTTTTTCTATCGTTGATGGGGATACACCAAGACATTCAAGATAAAGTGTTTCAAGAACTGGATAATATTTTTGGTGACTCTGATCGAAAATGTACCTTTGCTGACACTCTGGAACTGAAATATATGGAAAGATGTATCATGGAAACGCTTAGACTTTATCCTCCAGTACCTTTAATAGGACGACAGATAAATGAAGATGTTAAATTGGGTAATTTAATCTCAATTGCATTGTGGATGGACCCCTACAGTTTTTCTTTCTAGCTTCTGGAGATTATACAATTCCCAAAGGAACGAGTGTCGGTATTGGTTTGTTTAAACTGCACAGACTTGAGGAGTTTTTCCCCGAGCCAGATAAATTTAATCCCGACAACTTTTTGCCGGAGAAATGCGCAAATAGGCATTACTACGCTTTTATACCTTTCAGTGCTGGGCCTAGAAGTTGCGTTGGTGAATTTTGCTTTTGATATATTTTGGTTTTTTTTCTAATATTGTTTGGTTTTAGGGAGAAAATATGCAATGTTGAAGCTTAAAGTGTTGTTGTCAACCATCTTGAGAAATTTTAGGATGCAATCAAATGTTGAAGAGAAAGATTTTGTGCTGCAAGGGGATATTATACTGAAAAGAAAAGATGGGTTTAGGATAACAGTAGAAACTAGGAAATAGATGAAAATTAGATTTTATTCATAATATAATACAAACATGTACATCAAAAAAAAATAATAAGAAAACTTAACGTGATACAATAATTTACCTCTCAATCAAAAACGCGATTATTGATTTGCTGCCGTAATAGGAGAATACTGTTGTACAGTTTTATTGCGGGGCCCAACTTGATGTCCATCAAATCGAAAATGTCTTTTTGGGTGAGCGCCAAAAGGGCGTCGCCGTCGATTTCCTGCTCGATGAAACCGTCACCCATGCCGTCACAACTTGGCACCGTCGCCACAAATTGCGCAACGTCGCTTTTCGACCACGTTCGGGGGTCTTCGTCGACGCAAACTACCTCGTTGAGGAACTTGGTGTGCTTTTTGAAGGCTTCTTTCTCCGCAGGGGTGAAATTTGCTTGCTCGGACAGGTCGTTGGGTTCCAGTTTTCTTGATAAAAGCATTGGTTTTGCTAGCTTGACCATGGCATTCAAATTGACACTGACAAATTTAGGGTTGTTTTTATAGGTATTATAACGGCACGGCTACAAAAAACCTCCATCTTGAACTAGGATCTCTATAAAAAAAATTTCACCCTTTGTTGTTTCATACCTCCTATTTAAACACCTGACACCAATATTAGCTTTTACCATCTTTCATCAAGAGCTCTATAAAACTTTTTTATCCTTCATTGGACGTCCGTTGTATTTAGAACACCTTTTGACACCAATATTTAGAAATATCCATTTTAGGACATGACACTACAGCAGCTGCTAGCAGTTATTTCTATCGTTGATGGGGTTACACCAATACCTTCAAGATAAAGTGTATCAAGAACTGGATAATATTTTTGGTGATTCTGATCGAAAATGTACCTTTGCTGACACTCTGGAACTGAAATATATGGAAAGATGTATCATGGAAACGCTTAGGCTTTATCCTCCAGTACCTCTGATAGGACGACAGATAAATGAAGACGTTAAATTGGGTAATTTAATCTCAATTGCATTGTGGATGGACCTCTACAAATTTTTTCTTTCTAGCTTCTGGAGATTATACAATTCCCAAAGGAACGAGTGTTGGTATTGGTTTGTTTAAACTGCACAGACTTGAGGAGTTTTTCCCCGAGCCAGACAAATTTAATCCCGACAATTTTTTGCCGGAGAAATGCGCAAATAGGCATTACTACGCTTTTATACCTTTCAGTGCTGGACCTAGAAGTTGCGTTGGTGAATTTTGCTTTTGATATATTTTGGTTTTTTTTCTAATATTGTTTGGTTTTAGGGAGAAAATATGCCATGTTGAAGCTTAAAGTGTTGTTGTCAACCATCTTGAGAAATTTTAGGATGCAATCGAATGTTGAAGAGAAAGATTTTGTGCTGCAAGGGGATATTATACTGAAAAGAAAAGATGGGTTTAGGATAACAGTAGAAACTAGGAAATAGATGAAAATTAGATTTTATTCATAATATAATACAAACATGTACATCAAAAAAAAATAATAAGAAAACTTAACGTGATACAATAATTTACCTCTCAATCGAAAACGCGATTATTGATTTGCTGCCGTAACAGGAGAATACTGTTGTACAGTTTTATTGCGGGGCCCAACTTGATGTCCATCAAATCGAAAATGTCTTTTTGGGTGAGCGCCAAAAGGGCGTCGCCGTCGATTTCCTGCTCGATGAAACCGTCACCCATGCCGTCGCAACTTGGCACCGTCGCCACAAATTGCGCAACGTCGCTTTTCGACCACGTTCGGGGGTCTTCGTCGACGCAAACGACCTCGTTGAGGAACTTGGTGTGCTTTTTGAAGGCTTCTTTCTCCGCTGGGGTGAAATTTGCTTGCTCTATCAGAATTTTGAAGTTTTCCTCCACGGACGGGTCTTCGGGTTCCTGTTTCACGCGCTTCCGGTACTTCCGCTTTGGTTTTTGCTGTTCCCTTTTACTCGGATTATACTCGTCCAAAGGCTCAACTTTTGGTGGGTTTTTGGGCGGCCGTCCCAGTCTCGCTTTCCTGAAATCACCTAAAATAATTAAACCGCTTTATTAGTTGAGATCTTCCTTACGGTTTTTCTCGAGGTTCTCTCGACACGGGGACCACTGCCTCTAGGAGTTTGTCGGGACTCAAAAGGCGGTCGGGAAGGATTTTTTCCGCGTCTATGTTTTCTTCCGCGTACGGACAGTGCTTTTGCGTGGAGTGGGTTTGATATTTCGGACCTCGTACGTCACCCTGGCCCCGACATCCCACCGTGGGGCACTCCAGGAAGTCGTAAACGTCGTCTGGTGCTAAAAAATGTTACTATGTGAAATCTTCATCTCTGTAAATCTAAATAATTTGATATAAGATTCCCGTGATGTTCCTAAAGAATTTAATAGAAATTATAAGAAAAAAAATACATGAAATCAAATCGAAAAACAAATGGAAAATCTGTGAAAAATAAAATACCAGAGAAAAATTTTAAGTAAAAAAAAATAGTTATAAAAAATAAATTTATCAGAAAAAAAATCAAATAACCCAATCTTTAAATTTTAGTTTTATTATAAAAAGTGTTTTTAACGTATGTTTTTTATTTGAAGAGCAATATACAATGTATATTATACATAGTCGGTTAATTTAGAGTCTATTAAAATGGCATTTAAAAATTGATAGAGATGGGAAAATTCCGATTTGACGAAAATTCCCGGAAACTTTCCATCGAAAATTCCCGAAAGTTTCAAAAAAAAAATTTTTATTGCGAAAATATATTTTTTTATGCCAGGGATTTGCAAAAATATATAACACATTAACTTTTTGTCAAATTTTATTAAGAAAAAAAATTAAAAAAAATGTTTATAAGAATGCAACTGCAATACTATTTTTAGTATCTTTTACTTTGGAATATTCCTATTGTATACTGAAACCTACAAAATAAAAATAAAATATTTACTATTAGAAATTCACTGCTAGTAAATCCTAGATATTACGTAAAAAAATTAAAAGGGACAAAACTAATATATAGGAATATTGAAAAGTAAAAAGTAAAGTAAAAAATAATTCCAAACACTAGATTTTTTTCTTGGCATTGTGCTATGCCTATAAATAAACAACAAAAATGTAAGAATGATTTTAACTTTGTTTATTGTTTTTATTTTGTTTACCTTTTTTTTAAAAAGTTTTTTGTGATGCAATTTTTTGATTTACCTTGTCACGTGACGTTTAAAAAAATCCGGTTTAAAAGGAAACGACGTACACGTCATCAAGTGCATCAAGTGAAAGTGGCAGTGCAACTACAGGGCGATAGATGGCGTCAAAAGTCAGAGTTTTATAACCTATATGATGCACCGCCAAAAGTATGTTTTTAGCCATTTTTAAAGACATTTTCAGCTATAAAACCCAGAAATTTTGCCATCTCAAGTCAGTCTCTGGTATATATATTATTATTGTATGTATTCAACATATATTTTGTTAAATATTGTAATATTTAATTAATAATAATCCTATTTACCTCTCTAACAGCTGTTAAAGGTAATAAATAGCTTATTAAGGATGATAACAACTCTTGACTCCGATTATTTAAATGCTTCGGCATATTAAATATAGGAAAAACAAAAAAAAACGATATATGACAAACACAAAAACGGCAATGAAAACTTAAACGATATAAAATAACACAAACAACAAACAAAATAAACGAAATTATACACGAATTAAACGAAATATTCAAAAACCCAACTGACAGCTTCGAAATTCTATAACGTCAATTTCTTTTTTTATGCGTCATTTTATTAAGCAAAATTTTAATCTAAACATAACAACATCGCAATTTCTGCCAACTTAATTTGGTTAAAATGCATTAAAATATTCAATTACAGACTTCGTTTTATACATTTATTATTGGTACGAGTGCGCAAAATTATGACGTCATCGATGACGTGTATGTCGTTTCCTTTTAAATTTACTATAATAATATAATACTTATCACACCAGTATTGAAAATTAGTAAATTTTACCACCACTAAATTTGGTTTAAACTTATAAAATAATCTTAAAAAACCGAAAATCCCTAAAAGATCATACAAAAATTTCCATTACCAACATAATAAAAATAAAATTAATCACGTATTGTTTAATATACAGTGTATATTAAAACGAATAGATACCCTTAAATAAAACAAGTGCCAAACCCCGCCCACTGTGGTATGATTGAAAAAAGTTATTTTCGTTATTTTAGAATTATTTTTGTTTGAGAATTTATAGGTTTTATTTTTATCGAATTCGTTTGTTTTGTTTTAATGCATTTCTGCAAATAAAAACTAAGTATTGTTTAAAATCCATTAAATTCTAGTTAATGGCGAAAATGTATTTCTTAAAAACTATACACATTTCCCTACGACAGCGTCGAAGCTAAACAAACACAGTAGATCAAACTGCATGCCCTGGTATCTGGCTGCATGCCGCGCTGTTGCCATATGCTATTATTGTTTCCTAAAAGGGTTGTTTTTCTTATTTTTTAATATTAAAAGTAAGAAAATTAACTAAATCAAATTATTTTTGACATATTATTAATTTTTTTGTTATTTTTAAAGTTTCAAACAAATAAAATTGAACTATTTATTAAATAATTATAATCGTTCTCTTCTGATTTAAAACAACCTGGCAACTATGGTTCGTAATTACGAATGGCTTGGTTTTTTTTTCTCTGATCAGAATATAATTTGTCATCCTTGTCTCCAGCCTTACTTACTTGATTCTATACAGTCTGTATACATAGATAAACAATATAATATTAAGAGTTTTTTTGTATGGAGAAACGATAAAATAAGCACCCAAGTATCTACATAAGTAAATGGTAGTGTGACTTACTTAAGGGGGGTTCGAGGGGATGCGTGGTCTTGTGACTCCAGCCGATCGGATGTATGTCAGCGCAGTCGTCGTCCACCCAGTAGCTGTAGCGATCCGGCCAGCCGTCGAAGTGGATGCGGATCTGGTGCTCTTTGACGTCGTCGACGGTGGCGACGCGGATCAGCTGCGGCACGCGCCTGTCCACGCACTCGAGCCGCATGCCGCGCCGGAAGCCGCAGGCGGCGCGCTGCTTGAACGCGCGCACGGGCGCCGCCACCGCCTTCGTCTCCTTCAGGTACGTCTCCCAGGTGAAGGTCTCCGGGCTCGGGTAGTCTGAAACACCGTTCCCGGATGTAACGCATGTAACAACAGTTTTGAGACACATTTTCTTATCACTCTGGAATTACCCATCTAGTTACCGTTGTATTCATTTAGGCCTTGTCAACATAAATATTGACACAGGGTTCATACTATTGAATTCGTATAAAATTCCCTGACTTTTCCAGGTTTTCCAGAACTTTACCAAGCTTTTTCCATTGACTGTGGAAGGTGTCAAAAATTGATATTGATGTTCAGGCAAATAGGAAAAAATTAAAAAATAGAATTTATACTTTGCAGCTTTAATAACAGACCATAAAAACAAAAATAAATACATATAGCATAATTAATATTATAATATATGTAGGGTGAAGTGGGGTAAGTGCGCTTTTGGGGTAAGTGCACCAATTGGGTTTAAAAAAAAACTATTCAACATGCGGTGGCACCCTCTGGTAAATGCGAGAGCATGACTCTTTTCCACTAAAATACACATCCCTTCTTTACCGACATCAAATTGGTTAACAAAGAATGGCGACTTGATTGAGTGTTGTCGTTTTTACTCGCGTGTTAAATGCGCAGTTCTGTGAAAAAAAACACTTATTACTGGAGCTAAGGTATGTGTAAAGCTACTAGATATTTATTTTAAAAGTTTATATGTGTTTTAAGTAAACTAATATGCAAAATTACCTTTATTGTAAAATAAGCTAACTTTGAAGGGGTAGGTGCTCTTGCCCCAAAATTTTCTCTTATTGGGCAAGTGCACCTACCTTCATGCATAAAGGTAGGTGCACTTGCCCACTTTCCCCGGAGTTAGTTTCGGCCTACGCACATTTTTTTATAGGTACCATAGGAAGAAGAGGTGAAATAAAGTTTGACATCAGTTTTCTGCATTATAATATTAATTAGATTTACTGTATGAAGTTTACCTGTCTTTGTTTTTTAATGGTATTGTATTTTTGTTTGATTATTTCATAAACAGTTGAGAATAAAAAGTACCAGTTTGTAATCATGGATTTTTTTGCCAGATAATTTCCCTAAATTCGAGTTAAATGTAATAACTTTATAACCAATAAGTCAATTTAATTGCGGTAAATTGCAAAAAATTCACAAAACTGTAAGTTTGTTGCACTTGCCCCGTGTATACGTTCGTACTTCTAATATGGAAACTAACCGCATGCATATATTTTTACAAAAAAAATAGCTGTGGTGGCAGATTACCTTTAACGCAGAGTTTACTAAACTAAACTCAGTTTAGATCTGCCATGAGATACACCACTAAGGGAGTTGTATACATGCCAAAGACTGGACTCTTACCATTGTTGTAAAGAATTTTATTAACTATTCAATTTGTGTTTTGCACTTGGGTGGGTGCATTTACCCCACTTCACCCTAATTCAAAAACAAAACTTTTTTTAGATCTTTTAAAATTTAACTCAATAGTTATAACAAAACATAGAGCATATTTCTCGTAAATAAAAACAAAACAAAATATAAAAATAAGTCAAATATCTATTTTAAACTTTTTCTCTCAAAATTGATCGTCCACTTCATGGTTGGTTCCTTCAGTTAATTTTTATTTTTTGTTTTTCAGAACCTTGATTTCCCTCATTAAACAATTTTTCACAATTACGAGAAAGACTTGTAATGTTACTTTGACTTTTGTCAAAGACAAACTGACAGTTACACGATTAGGTAGTTTACATTAAAATTGCCCAAGCATTTCCTTTATATTAAATCATAATGTAAATTGTGTAGGGATTAAGTAAATATTATTTTCTTTTATATTATTATTATTATTTTAAGTATTAGTATTATTTACAGATAATTCCCTGACTTTTCGTTTTTTCTTTAAATTCCCTGACTTTTCCATGACTTTTTAGACTCATTTTATATTCCCTGACTTTTCCCGGATTTCCCGGTTTTCCCGGTCGCTATGAACCCTGTGACAATTCTATTAATAAAACTGTAATAACACTATGCCAGGGAAACTAGAGAATGATTACAAACCAATAATGTTCCTTTTGTACCCAAACAATCCCCAAGCACGATCCATTGAAGAATTTTGGGCCTTATTAAGTAGGAAAGTTTACTATAAAGGATGGGAGGCAGAAACCGAAAAGATGCATTAAAATATGTTTTTATTGTTAAGAATTTATGTGAACTTTATAACTTTTATACGGTTTAAGTAGAGATGTAAAAAAACATTTTTTTTTCAGATTTGAAAAAAAAAAAACGTTTTTTTCGTTTTTTTTTATTCTGTCAATAAATAACATCAATCTTAAAAAATTGAGTATTTTTCAATTTAAAATTTTGAGCAAAATGTATATTAATAATAAAATGAAATACAGCAAAAGCGGCTTAACTGAAAAAAAACATGTTTTTTATCTTTAAATATTCCTATTATCGAGTGAACTAGCCTAATAAAGTTTGTTTTAATAAGATTAGAAACTACTATATTAAAATACTTTATTGGCTAGTTTACTCGAAAAGCGCATAATAGGAATATTTTAAGATAAAAAAACAAAAATTACTTTTTTTAGTTAGGCCGCTTTTGCAGTATACGCCTCAAATTTAAAATATATTACATTTTCCATTATTGAAAATTTTAAATGAGAATTTGATTTTTTATTATTTGGTAGTTCACACATAAGAAACCAATAACAATGTAAAAAAAACGTCTTGAAGTCTATTAAACTCTCACACATAAGAAACCAATAACAATGTAAAAAAAACGACTTGAAGTCTATTATACTCTCTATTATTGTAGGTAGGTAGTTACTTTTTTAAGACAAAATCAAAACAAAACCTTTTTGGTGAATTCGGTGGTGAGGGCGCGTGCATAGCACGTGACTATATTTATATTTACTAAATGTCATTTAGTGGATACATTTTAGTCTATGAACTGGACTAGAAACATAAAAAAATAGGCAAATGAAACTAATCTTGAAAAAAAACATAAAATATGGAAAGAAAGCAGTGAAAAAAAACTGAAAAAAAACATTAAAAAACTGATCGTTTTTTTTCAAGTCACATGTCTAGGTTTAAGTAAACCACAAAATTTTAACAAATGTTAGTTTTTTAATTTTTGTCTAAAAACTTTTGTTACATACGTTATATACAGCGCAAAAGTCCGAAGACCGTTTACCAATAGCCAAACTTCCGCTCAAAAAAAAAACATATACAGTGTGACCCATTTGGTAATAAATGGTAAATACTATCAAAGTTCAACAAGAGGAGCTTTTTTGTGTGTAAACCTCCAAAATAAAATAATATTACATCAAATCATGGGACAAGACAAGTAAAAAAAGTTTGGATAGTTTTACCCTTACTCCCTATCTATCTGACTAACCAATTTTAGTATTACATCTTATTGACTATAAAAAGTTTGATTTTTTTCTATCTGATGATTTTAATTTAGATTTTAGAACATGCAGAACTTTTTATAAAGAATAACTTTTCTTTGTAAAATTAGACACACTGTATATAAGTGGATAACCACATGTATGACTAAAATTTAATTCTACCAATACATCTTATCTAAAATTATTGATATGATTTTTAATATTCAAAATAATTTCATGGAACTTTATCATATACAATGTTGGCAAACTAATTTTGTTTTCATTTTATAATTAATAAAAATTATCAGCAAATTTACTAAACAAAGCAGTAATTCCCAGAACAAAAATATTTTATCTTTGGTTATAATGAAAGTGTAAACAACAATAAAAACTAACTTTACTCAATTTTTGTTGTTTAGACAATTTTATGACACATAATTTTATGAAAAAACAAACAACCCTAAAATTTTTAAAAAACCACCTACTTTTACAAGAAAAAATGTTCCTCTTACCATTGGGAGGAGTCAAATTGTGCCCATACTGATCGCACCAACCGACAGGGTGTATATAAGGCGACGTAGGATCGGCCCAGTAATCATAAATGTCATCCCAACTGTCAAAATGCACCAAAATCCTATTGTCCATCATATCCCTTATGCTGGCCACACAAACCAGGGCCGTATTCTTTCTATCCACGGCTTCAAGCTTCATTCCCACCCTGAAGCCGTTAGGACAAATCGCCTAAAAAAGAAAACACGTCGGAAAGACCCCTTAAGTGAAAATAAGGTGAGGTAAAGTTTTATATTTATTTATATATTTATTATTATTATTAAATCGTTCAAAGAAACGATTTTTAATAAAAAAATAAATAAATATGGTTTTGGGTATTTTCGCGAAACCTTACCCCGCCTTGACAAAATCAGATGTGATATTTAACCAAATAAAAACTATATCTGAAGTCAAATAATTTAATTTGGGACGTAATTTATAACCTTAAAATATTTGTACATTGTGATGCTAGGATAACATTAAGAATAAACACGGAAAAGTTTCAATACTTGATAAAATGTTCAAATGTCGCACCCGTTACATTTTGAGAACATTTTAGAAAATAAAGAATACAATATTTGTGCATTTAAAATACGTGCTTGTTTAAGGTTACTATTGAAGTTTTACACAAAATATTATTACTATATATATATATATGCTTTCATCCAAAATTTTACAGTACCTACTGTAAAATTACAATTTTTTTTTATTTAAGTTGATTTTTTATTAGGTATATTAGTTTTATTATTATTAAACACATTGTTTTTTGTAAGTAATAGAAAAGCAATAATTAATAAAATAAAAATCAGTATACAGGGTGTTATGTAATTAAGGTAGAGATGCGACTTGAAAAAAAACGGTCCGTTTTTTTTGTTTATTTTCAGGGTTTTTTTCATTGTTTTTTTAATATTTTAGGTTTTTTTTCAAGATTCCTATTCCAGATTTTCTATGAGTGTAGAAGTTTTACATTGCTATTTGTTTCTTATGTGGAAACTACCAACTAATAAGAAATCAGATTTTTTAGTCTCGGTCAAAATTTTCAATAATGAAAAATATAATATATTCTACATTTCACTTTATTATTTTTATACATTTTACTCAAAAATATTTTGAAAAATTACTCCATTTTTTAAGATTGATATTTATTGACAGAATATTCTTTACTAAAGCGGCTTTGAAAAAAACAAAAAAAACCGCTTTTTTCATGTTTTTTTTTCACATCTGAAAAAAACCGTTTTTTGCATCTCTAAATTAATGTTATATTAAAATGGGTATTTTCTTAGGGTCTATAAAGAAGCACCTGAAACGTTTTTTTTTCTAAATTCCAAAGACTAAAAATAATTTATAATAACCTTTATCCTACCAAAAAGTACGCCACTGATCGACTAGGAACATTAGGCTAATCTGGTTGCCTAATTTGATTTATTATGTTATGGTTGGTAACAATCAGCGTTTCCAGATTCTGTCAAAAAAGTTGCCAAATTTTGTTTAAATTTAGCTAAATTACAAATCTACCATGCAAATTGTTAATTTGGCGTTATTGTTTAATATGTCATTTTGTAATGAAGGTAAATTCAAACAAAATCTGGCAACCTTTATGACACAAAGAAACAAACAGAAATAAAAAAAAAATAATTTTGTGGTTATGGAGTAAATTTTCTAATCATTGCTTAAGCTAATAGCTGGATGAGTAAATAAATACAGAAGGGTATTAGAGCTTTAAGGTCATAAAACGTGTATTTATTGAGTTTTTATTTATTTTTTGCAAGAAAAATTTTTAGTAACTAGTTTTTACTACTGGCAACTCGCAGCTACTTTGTTGGTTGGTATCTATGTACTCACACAATACAAGTGTGTATATTTTTTCTTTATCTTTGGGAAATTATTTTTTTAAATATTTTTCCGTTACACCTTATGTCAAAAGGTATTCAGTATTTTAATATATTACGTTAATTACATAAGAACCCTGTAGACAATCTGACATGCATAAATAGACGTTTTAACCTTAAAACTAGTATATTTCTTTACTATTTTCTGAATAAAAAGTGATATTTTTTATATCAGGAAAAATTTTCATATTATTTAATTATGGTTTACAAGATTTTTGAACAATGTTTATGGATTTTTAATGGAGAAAACGATTAAAAAAAAAGTAAGATTTTGAACAAAAGATTGTTTGACTCTAATTTTTAGGATTTTTTTTCGGAAAACTTTACTTACATTTCCAGCTCGGTTGCAGAACAAGTGTTTCGGGGCGGCAGTCGACTTGGTAACCTTCAAATACTGTATCCAATTGAAATTGTCCACCGTGTAACCGCTTGGCGGTTGCAAAACGTGGCCGTACTTTTCGCACCACCCCATCGGAAAGATGTCCATGGAGTCCGCGTTGCGCCAAAAATCGTAGTTGTCCGGGTACCCGTCGAAATGCAACCGGATCCGGTATCCGGCCGTTTCCGCCACGGAGAGAACGCAGAAGTAGGAGGGATGCTGGGGGTCGACCCCTTCCAGTTTCATGCCGGGCCTGAACCCGTTCCGACTGTACGGAAAAGCGTCCTTGAACAGTTTCACCGGGGCCGGTTTCGCTTTGATGTGCTCCAAATATTTCGACCACGAAAAACCCTTTTTCGCGCACGCCCATGGATACGAGAATTTGTCTTGCGAGTTTTCGTTCGATATATCCTCGTCTTCTTCCTCGCTTTCTTTATTGTTGTTTTCCGTCTTCCCGCGTTTTCTTTTCTTCTTCACCCTATCTTTACCGCTTTTGTTTAGATTCTCATCCTGACAACTGTTACTGCAATATTTAGGACTTATAAACTCCGATGGCAATCCGAAACAACCGCACTCCAAACACCTCATCTCCTCGTGATATTCAATCTTCTCCAAATTAGTCTTATTCAGTTTCTTCTCCAATAACTTCAAGTATTCCTCTCTGGTCACATACTCCACAATATCAAACTCGTTTTTGATGAATTTGACGTCACTGCCCGGTAAAGAACCGATCCCATCCTCCCATTTCAGCATTTTCTCCACATCACACTCATCATTCATATTTACATCCAACTTCTCAATCTTCACCAAATTCTCTTTGGTGTCTATTTCTTCGGTTTTGACGTCATCATTTTCGCTGCTCATAATTATTTCCACGTCATCGTAATCCTTCCTGATGGAAAAATTCGATTTTCTTCTCGATTTTTTATTGTTAATTTCGCTTATAACAATCGGTTCAATCTCTTTCAGGGGTGCATCTGAAACCGAATTTAAACTGTTTACTACATTTATACTGGTGGCTTTAGTTTTTTTGTCCCCAAACGAATAATTCTTCTTCAGAATTGAGATGCCGTGTTTGGGAAATTTGATGGGCTCCTTGAGAATTGCGGGGAATTTATCCTGCTCTATAATCTCACTCATTTTATTATCACAGATTGGTGGGTCCTGTTGCAGCTGCCCATTCATAAACGTAAAATTGATTATTTTTTGTTCACCATCGGGTTTTTTGGGTTTAAATACGGCCGTTTTGGGGGTAATTGGAAGCCGTCCCAGTACATGGTTAATGGAGTTTGTGGTTAAAACTGAAACCCCATCTTGAGTGTTGTTTACGGTTGTGATGGGTGTTTCGGAAGTTTTCCCCACAGCTTTCAGCATTGCCAAGTTAATACCCGCTAACTTTGGTTTCTGCAGCAAGATTTGTGGCTTAACAGGCGCGAAAATAACGTTTTGTGAAGTTGTGGGCATTTTGGTTTGTGAGTTTTGTCCCAATGTGGCGAACTGAAATTGTGGTACGTTGTTAACATTAATAATATTGCTGTTGCTGATTGTGGTGAATGGTGCTTGTATGTACACAACTGGTAGGGTTTTCATTGTTACAGGTGTATTTGTTGTGGTTGGTAAATTTGTCGATGTTTCAAATTTGGATATTGTAACATCAGATGAATTATTTTGTAATATAATTTCATTTTCCATGCCTAAATTAATTTGAGAATTATCCGTCACATTCTGGTTTGATGGTAATTCTGTGGTTGTAAGAGAAGTCATCTCTGAAAAATTTAAAAAACTCTTAAAAAAAAATACTCTAAATATAAACACTAGTTTAATAATAAAGCATACTGATGCACAAAAATAATCGCGAACCACGTAAAAATATATTTCTTGCATCCCATGCAAACGCACATTAAAAACATTCAAATAACAACAAATCCAAAATAATTATTAAGTCCTTGTCCAGACTGTTGTGAATGACTATTTACCCACTAAAACTTTCTTGAATTATAAAATAAACATCAAACTAGCGCCCGATACTTTTTTGCATGCACGTAAACAAATCAAAACCATGTCCATAAATACCTTAATGAACCGCCCAGAACCACAGGTAAATTAAAAAACTTAAATTTTCTGACAGCACCGAAAGAATTCATGAGAATAGAGAAATATCCGTCCAATATACTATGCGCATGCGCACGTAGGCGAGACGTAATGCGGGGAGGGGCTTTTATGAATGGCGTTCGCTTTCCCGCTATTTGAATTATTTCAACATTTTTACCAAAATAAACCTTTAGTTGCACAAATAACATTAAAAACAGTTATTGGAATATTTCAAAAATATATTTTTATAAAGGAAAAGTCTTTAAAATACATTAAAATTATTTAATTCGTGTTATAGGATGCAAATTTAAAAACCACGTTTTTAAATATAAGAGTAGCAAGTGTGCCAGCAGAGGGCGCACTTTCTTGTAAAATGTGATATTTTGTAAAAATTATATTTTTCTTTTAAAATATTCACCGTTTGCCTAAGAATAAACGTAGAAACTTAATAAATTATTAAAAATATTTTGTTGGTTAAATTAATACTGACCTTTGTTTACAAATGGTTCCCTTGCACGCCATTACGTTAAAGTTATCTAATATTTAGTCACTACATGATTTTTCTCCTAATGCGTTTTTAAGAGTTTGATTATTTAATGCCTAATAAACTATGAAACTTAATAAAAAGGTACTTAATTGGTTGTTATTTCAACAAAAAATATGAATAAGGTTGTTGTTATAATAAGTTATAATAAGTTAACAATTGTTTTATTTTATTTCATATCTATCTACTTAATGCTTTCTAACATGCTTAGAGTTTACTACCTATATTGTATACACAAATAATGTTCTATTTAATTAGCATTGAAAATAATTCGTGACCTAAACCCAATTAATTGATTTAAATAAAAGCAAAACCGTGCATACATTTCTTTGGTCAGAATAAAAATTAATAAATATATATTTTAGCATAGTTATAGTCTTTAAGATAATAGCCTTGCATTGTAGCATTATTTATACAAGTTTTATAAATAAAAATGTAAATATATAAAAATGTAAACTACTTGCCTGTAAAGCGGTGTGCGCAGTCGCGGGAACAACAAAATAAGAAAACAGCTGTTTATCACTGTAAACTCTTTGCAAATAAAAACAAATATAATCAATTTTTGACAAGTGATTTATAAGTGAGTTAATAAATATAAATTTCATTGGGGCTAAATAGCGAAATAAAATGCTCAATCTCCTCTTAAATCGCCTGTAAAGTAGTTTAAGGTACGCACATTATTTTGACGTCAACTAGTGTCGTAATAACAAAGATTTTTTTAGAATTTGGGCAAAATGGGCGGCGTGGTAAGTTCGGGGCAAAGTAACGACGATTTAATAGACAATCTGCTCGAAGCTGATTACATTAAGACCTCTGACATCGAAAGGGTGTTCAGGGCAGTCGATAGGGCCAATTATTTCCTACCAGAGGCACGAACGCATGCCTACAAGGATTTAGCATGGAAAACCGGCAATTTACACTTGTCGGCGCCCTGCATTTACAGCGAGGTCATGGAAGGGCTGCATTTGAAGCCCGGGTTGTCGTTTTTGAACATAGGCTCCGGCACAGGGTACTTAAGTACCATGGCTGGTTTAGTATTGGGCATAAATGGTGTTAACCATGGGGTTGAGATATTTGATGATGTCATTCAGTATGCAAACAAGAAACTGGAGGAATTTAAAAGGCATTCAGGCACTATGGACGAATTTGAGTTTTGCGAGCCAAAATTCAAACAAGGTACCAATTTTTTTCATTAAAAGAAAGGTAGTGTATTTTATAAACTAAAAGATAGGTAAATAAAATGGCACACCACATTGTTGTGGGGTTATTTTAAGCATAAAAAAATTACAATTTTTTTTTCACCAATACTTTTACATATGTTTTAAAATTGAGTTTTATTTTCTTTGTTTTAATTTTTAAACAATATCCGTTTATAGATATTTATATTTTCTTATAACATTTAAAAATAAAAAGTTTGGGTTTGTTATAACAAAGTTGTGATGATTTAAAGCAATGGCTTCTCAAAATAAGAGGGCGCTGTTGTTCTGTTTGTTGTTTTGTATTTTTCTTTATGGTTTATACCAAAACAGCAGACAAGTACAAAATGAAAATCAGCGCCGCCAGTGGTGAAAAAATAAAACGTAATTGGTAGGTTCTGTCAATTTTCCCTATTGGATTCTTACTCCTTGTGTACATCTTGACATCTACCATGACTTGAAGTTAACATAAAATGTTTGTCATTGCAGGAAATTGTCTGTGCCTTGGCAATATCTCAGGCCAATATGACAGGATATATTGTGGGGCTGCTTGTCCAGAAAGTTTTGAACCATTTTTGAAGAATGTAATAAAAATTGGAGGCATCCTTGTTATGCCCCTAAACGATCAACTTCTTCAAGTAAAAAGATCTGATGAATTTTCTTGGGACTACACATGTTTGTTACCAGTTTCTTTTGCTTCTATGATTGAACCTGGAGATAATTCCACCGAAATTCTACACATATGTAAGTTTAAAGTCATATTAACAAACGTAAATGTCAAAATTCAACTGTTTCTGTCAAAACTTTTGACAGAAACAATTGAATTTTGACATATTGACTCGAAACTTGACAGTTCCCTTATGATTTCAGTCGATATTGAACCGCCAACGTTGCAAGAATTGTGCCGTGCCAAAATAAGAAAGTTGCTGAAAAACTCCGTGGAATCGGAACACTTGGATTTGTTGGTGAAAAAAACCTGCACAGTCTCGAACGCCAACGTCAAAGCGGCCAAGAAAAAACGAGCTTTAAGGCGTTGCGTGGTTGCCGTGTTCGAATCGGACGAAAGTTCAGACGAAGAAGGTAATACTAACATCGTATTTTACCGCGATTTTCCAACGATTAAATAATCCTGAAATACGTTATAAATAAAATTAGGACTGGAAAATTAAATTTAAACAAAATTTACCTCAAAAATAATATTAACTGCGCATAGCCATTTTGACTGTCATTTTAAGGCGTCTTGGCCAATCAGAGAGTGGGTTGTCATAACAACGTTATCACGTGTTTTTAAGGCATACCTACGATTGGCTTATTTTGAAATTGTTACCATAGCTTTATGTGCAATGGAATAAAATCTGTTTTGAAGAAAATAATTTCATTTGAGCCTGATTTTATTTTAACTAAATCTTTTTTTTTGCTGTCTCAGTGAGTCGTGCGTATAGAAATCGGCAGGGAGATGTTCTGAACCGCGTGGATTTTTTCAACTTGGTTTTGGAGTCCATTGAAAACCGCAATGGGGGTTCTAGAATTCATCCGGAAAGGCCGCCGGTTAGAAGGCGTTCCAATCAAAATGAACATCAGAATTCTCCGAGACCAATGGATGTGTTGTATTCTGATAGTTCGCAGGATAATTCTGAAAGGAGCTCGCCGGCCGATTTAAGCAACGGTTCGGAAGATAAAGTCCATAAAAAGGTAGGAAAAAAGATTGTTTTTGGTTGTCATTTACTTTTTGGGGTTATACCACAGAACATAAGGGTTATACGCTAAGTAGCGCCACCACTCGGCCGTTATCATCGTAACAAAACTTTTAATAATCAGCTGTCAAACGCTTATGTTACAAACGAATGTTTTTGAGATTAAAGCCGGAAAATGTTCAAATATATCGAAAAAAAAAAACCGTAGCACGATTTGTTGTGTTGTTGGGTGTATTTCAACAGGAAATCCTGGGTTGAGTTTTTACCGGTTTTCCAATAAACTGTTAATCCGAATGAAGAAATAAATTTCATACAGTCCCTGTAAATATAAATTGTATCTATTAGATACAATAAATTCACATTTTAGTAATGATTAACGTGAAAATTGTAAACATTTCAATTCAGTAAAATTCGTCAAACAAATAAGTCGTCTAATTTCAAACAACATTTAGCATTATTAAAAGCGTTGATTAAGAAAGTCTCCACTCAACGGTAAAATACCATTATATTATGTATTATATTTAATATTATGTTGCCATGAATTCGTAGGTATATTTTGTTGTTTAAAATGCAGTTTTCAGCGTTTTTTAGAGGACTCAAATAAAAAAATATTCGATTTTAAGGTTATGTTTGTGCAACAATTATTTTTTACCAATTCTTAAAAATGTCGAAACTTAAATATAAATTATATTAGGTTTAGTTATCATTAGTATATTCTGCAGCAACAAATGTACGAATTGGATCCTTTTTCAAGGCATGAAAATGCAACAATTTAGTTCTTGAATTTCATTTATAATTAAAAACACAATAATTCACCATAATCCCTTAGATAAAATGCTCACACTAACGTAACTATACAAGCATATTAGCGTTGAGTTTCTTAATCAATGACATAAGGAATAATAAATTGAAATCAAGTACTAAACCAAAGTTTTTTAGTTTTTACTTGCAACGCAAAACATCGTGCGGGATTCAACTTATTTTCTTGATTTTTTGCTTTTAACAGGAAATTAGGATCTATCTTTAAAAATGCCATAAAAACTTACCTTGTAAACAACTGTTTTTACTCCTTTAATGAGTTCTTAACTAATAATATTTAGGATTTTTTTTACCCATTTAAATGTTTACTAAATGATTTAAATGTTTATTTATTTATCAATTTATTTATTGTATACCGTATGACTATGTTATGTTTCACCTTGTATTTTTTGTATTTTGACGTGGTTTATTCATGTATGATTAGTGTTGCAAACAAGGAAAAGTTCGGTCGAAAAGTTGAAAAAGTTGGAAAAGTTCGGCACCCCCTATGAAAAGTTGGAAAAGTTATTAGGTGGGAGCCAATGAACAATGAGTTGACTTCTAACCAGTGTTTCCACTACCATAAATTTTTTTTGGTAGATAATTTGGTCAAAATTCGATATAAATCGTTAGATTTGAAGTGTTTTTAGTAAAATGCTAAAAGCATTGTTTTTTGGAATAACATTTTGTCAAACTTTATCAAAAATGGTGTCTGCTAATGTTAGCTGTTCAGCATTTTCTATTATAACGTATTTTAAATTTATACACAGTATGAAATTTGCAAGTTTTCTTTTCTTTTTCTTTTTAAATTTTTACTTGTAAATTTCCATAATTTTTAACAACAATAAATTTAATAATTTTTGCTTCATATTTTTTTGTAATTATTTTTTATTTTGTATGTGTTTTTTTATGGTGTGTATAAATTTCTATTCCTTTTTACTTAAAAATATGATTTTTTTAATTCAAACCTAGTTTATTTTTGTTGTTATTATGTTGTCTGTTCATTTTATTTTGTTTGATATTTTTTTGTTATTTTGTTACGTATGTATAAATACATAAGAAATAAATAATTTTAATACATTGACAAGCATTATTTATGTTTTATACGTTTACATTACAAAAAACTCAACTTTTCCATCTTTTCCAACTTTTCCGAACTTTTCCGAAAAATAAAACCCAACTTTTGAAAAATTTCAACTTTTCATGAAAAGTTGCAACCCTATATCAGTGAAGATTGAACTATATTCATTAAAATATTTTAACCAAGCTAAAAACCACAGACCTACAAACAAACCCAGATTTGAAAATGGAACAATATTATTCTCGCCTCGCGAATTGTTGACATAATAACTATGACAATTAAGCATAAGGTAAATTTAGTGAATATATATCATTTCTTGTCGGGCGATTTTATTGAAAAAGGCCGAAATGTTTGTAGTTGTCAAATTCCGAATGAAAAAAACAAACCGCACCATTCTTGCAGGTTCACGTGGAGGTTCACCCGAACGGGCGGCCGACGGGCGGCGCTCGGGTCGTCGGCCCGGCCGACGACACGCCGCCGGGATCGTCGAGCGCGCGCCCCTCGCCCGCGGAAACTCCCGAAGCCGGGCCGAAGAGACGCGAGCGCTCCGGCGACGAGAGAATCTTCGAGAGGCGCGACGTCTCTTCGACGTCCAGCGAGGACGAGCAGATGCGAGACCCACCGGAAGATCTCGACGACGACGCCGAGGTAAGCTACTCCCAAAACGCCTTTGCCAGTGTTGCCAGATGTACGATAATTATCGTATTTGTACGATAAATCTCCCATAAGAGACATTCTTTTACAAATCGAACGGATTTGTGAAAAAATAAAATATAACATTTTTAAATGTCGAGATTTTTTTTTTATAGCATCCTATTTATAATTAAGCCGACACCTATAAGGGGATTTTGTGCATAACACTATATTTTTGAAATTATGAATATTTTAAATTATCGTAATTTGCCGAAAATCTGTCGATATCCTCATGCTTAAAATTTTATATCTCCCCTTCGGATTATCGGATCAATTCGATTTTTTTTTTGTTTTGAAGGGTAATTTGTAAGGTTTTAATAAACACTTTAGCAATAATTTCCATTGTTAATTAAAAAAAATATTAACAATTAAATTGTTTAAATAATTTTTACATGCTGGTCCCCAAGTCCAAAAAAAATTAAAAAAATACCATGATGTGCGCTAATTTCTTACGTAAAAAACCCATATTTCAGAAAATTGGAGACTTTCTTAGATCGGAAGATATTAAATTATTTCTAGATCAAGTCATCGAGCGCGAGCAACGTTTGACAGTTCCCACGCGTTTAATCAATCTGTTGACGCAGTCATTGTGTTTATTACATGATTTTTGTAAAAAATAACGTATTTTATGAAGAAAAATGCCAAAAGTACCAAAATCATTGTTGGGTTCGCGATTTCGAACAGATAGATGCTGTAATTCTTTGTTTCCTCATCCAAACAGAAAAAACAAAGGTCTCAGAAAAGTCCAGGAGAAACATTTGTTGGCACTAAACATACCTGTTACAAAAAATACACTTAAATTAAAAATTTGCAACAAGTGTCGTCTCAGTTTGTCTAAAAAGGTATGTCAAATTTTTATTATATTTCAATAAAACTCATAACAAAAATGTAACCTATTCTTTTGAATACAAAAAAATAATTTAATAATAATCTCGAATACATGCATACTAAAGTGTTTTCATTTTTTAGAACGAGGAAGTTAAGGAATCGTTCTCTGACGAGTTGACAGATAATGAAGTACAAAGTATAGAACCTACCCTGGAAAGTCCTGCACCTGAAGAGGACGACAAAGAAATCATTTCTGACGCAATCGATGCATTCAACATGGGTTTGCAATTAATTGGAACTTCACCAATTCAAAAGAAAAAAGTTTCCCAAAAGCGCTATTCAAAAAGAAAAATGGAAACCATTTCGAATGTGATTGTGGAAAAAATTTTTGATCCTTAGGTTGTAACTAATAATGTTGAGCAGAAGAAAAATGATGGAGATCATGTATTAAAAGTTTTAAAAGGCGAATTTAACTCAACAGAAGACCGTATTAAAAAAATTAAAATTCTGACTATTTTAAAAGACTGGTCTTTTCGGAAAATACAACATCATTTTCCTTCTGCTACGACTCATATGGTCATAGTTGCGAAAAAAACATGTGAAGAAAAGGGTATATTATCTGATCCCAACCCTAAAAGTCATCCATCATTGGAAGAAGATGTTGTTAATTTAATAGTAAGCTTTTATGAACTTGACGAGTACAGTCGAATAATGCCAGGAAAAAAGGATTATGTTTCAGTAAAGGTCAATGGAGAACGCACTCAAGTTCAGAAAAGATTACTATTAATAAATTTAAGAGAACTTTTTCAATTGTACACGGAAAAGTACCCACAGAAAAAATGCAGTTTTTCCAAATTTGCCGCATTACGACCAAAACATTGTGTGTTGATAGGTGCAAGTGGCACCCATTCAGTTTGCGTTTGTGCTATACATGAAAACGTAAAATTATTGATCGAAGGATCAAATATTAAAAATCTTACAGCTAACTCCCCAAACCCAATGCGAACATATCATGATTTTTTAAAACGTATGGTTTGCGTTGTGCAATCAGATAACTGTTTTTTTGGAACGTGCTCTGGGTGCCCTGGTGCAACGCCTTTAATTCAAGAACTCGAAAACTTATTTGAAGAAAATTTTATTGAGGAAATTACTTACAGGCAATGGACAAATGTTGATAGAACCACATTACAACTCATGATATCTCCATCAGATGATTATTTAGAAAAATTACAGACATCTTTACAAAAATTACTTCTGCATTCATTTCTTGTAAAAAAACAAAATGAATTTATAAATATTAAAAAAGAAGAATTAAACAAAAACGAGTGCATTGTTGTCTGTGATTTTTCAGAGAACTATGCTTTTGTAATTCAAGATTCTGTGCAAGGCGTTCACTGGAATAACAACCAAGCAACAGTTCACCCTTTCGCGATTTATTTCAGAAATGATGATGGTCAAATTTCTATAAAAAGTTTTGTTGTTATATCAGAATGTTTGCACCACGACACAATAGCAGTTTATGCATTCCAAAAAAAATTAATAGATTTTATAAAAAAGAACTTAAACCATATCACAAAAATCACATATTTTTCTGATGGGGCATCTGCACAATATAAAAACAAAAAAAATTTCGCCAATCTTACACATCATGTTAAAGATTTTGGTTTAGCTGCAGAGTGGCACTTTTTTCCCACATCACATGGCAAGGGTGCATGTGATGGCTTGGGAGGAACCTTAAAAAGGTTGGCTGCTCGAACAAGTCTTCAAAGGGTTTCTAATCCCATCCAAACTCCAGAAGAATTGTTCGAGTGGGCATCTGAGTCACTACCAAATATTTCAGTGACGTTTGTTAAAAATCATGAGTATGATGAGGCAAAAAAAAAGTTGGAGATTAGATTTACAAAGGCTGTAACTGTAAAAGGCACATTATCTTACCATTGCATAATACCAATTACAGAAAAGAAAGCAATAGTTAAACATTTTTCATTGGAAAAACAGTCCATTAAAGTTAAAATTATAAAATAATTATTTGGTTTGCTACACGTTTAGTTAATTAATTATTCCTGTAAATAAATATACTCAGTACTCAAATTATTTTTGTTAATTATAATCCTATAGGAAAACACTGCGCCATTACAACTCTATGCCTGCAGCGCCCGGGCGCTACTTGACATCTCACGTCACGCGCGACCCAAAATAATTTAATATCTTCCGATCTAAGAAAGTCTCCAATTTTCTGAAATATGGGTTTTTTTACGTAAGAAATTAGCGCACATCATGGTATTTTTTTAATTTTTTTTTGACTTGGGGACCAGCATGTAAAAATTATTTAAACAATTTAATTGTTAATATTTTTTTTTAATTAACAATGGAAATTATTGCTAAAGTTTTTATTAAAACCTTACAAATTACCCTTTAAAACAAAAAAAAATTCGAATTGATCCGATAATCCGAAGTGGAGATATAACATTTTAAACACGAAGATATCGACCGATTTTCGGCAAATTACGAAAATTTTAAATAATCATATTTTCAAAAATATAATGTTATGAACAAAATCCCAAAATACGGGTCAGTTTATTTTGCCTGTAGAAATTGTAAAATAAATTTTAGGCAATTCTGAATGATGGAGTCAAAATAGGTGTTTGATTTGTAAAAGAATGTCTCATAAGTACGATGTACGATACCATGTGTACTAGGGTGATTCATTTCCGCAAAGTTTTTGTTTTTTTTCGGTGCTCAAGCAAAATATTAATCTGCATATAGGAAAAAACATTCTCACCAAGTTTGAGTTCTTAACCCTTATGCAGGCGCACCTCTTTATGCAACGTAGTAGGTCGCGCGGGGTGTCAGATACACCCCTGATGGCAAAGCGTCCCTGAGTGTTATTTACATTTTTTTTGTCTTTTTTTTTTTCAAAATTATCAAGTTAAGATGAGCTTAGAGACAATTAGAACATATTTGGTTGCGTTCAAATTTGATAAAAGATGACAAAAAAAGAAAATGTCAAAAGACGACAATTTTAATAAAATAAAGCATTTATTTAAAAAATACAAATTTTAAAAGTCATAACAATAATAAAAACCAAAAAAAAATACTAAGCACATAAGATAAGGTTTACTTTTACAAGTAATTATGATTTTGTAAAGAAAAGTCAATAGGGAGGCGAAACCCAGCCTGCTCAAAGTCACTCAATTTCGATACTAGAATTTACTATGGAATCAAAGCTTTCTTTACAAACATTTTTCCTGTGCTTTATGCACATGTTTTTGGCACACCTTCTACTTTTTGCAAAAAGGCATGCCTTGGACAAATTAATTTGTAATTACACATATGCCCTTCTTTACCGGCAACTGATAATTTGAAAATTATTGGGCGGAGAAATTTTGGCAAATTTTTATTTGTTGTTTACATAAAATATTAGAACGAACGGAAACAAGCAAAACATAACGCAATGCTTTCAAGATAAAAATAAATATTTTGTCGTGCGTTCCAATTACTTTTTTACAGGGTAATGTGAAGTAATAACAAAAGTTGAAGAAATCAGCTTAACAAATTAATGCAAAATAATTGTACGTGAAAAGGCGCACGGGGTGTCCACAGCACCCAGAGCCTGTTTGAAACAAAATATCAGACAACCTATTACATTAACTTCGAAATCTGCAATATAATATGACTGACAATACTTTGACAGGAAGGTACTGAAAGTAAGCGCCATTTATTCGAAACGAAGTGAGACCGGTAGGTATATTTAGGAAGCTGGGGTGTTTTGTACACCCCGCGTGCCTGCTTAAGGGTTAATATTAATTTTAAGCACTTTCTATTTACCGTTTAAAATGCATGTAAAAAATATATTTTTTTTTTCAAATTTCTAATGCTTACCCACCTTTGACAATATTGCAAATCGGTTTAATACACCTTATGGGGAATTTCACGCTCTTTAAAATTGCTTTTGAGTTTTTTTTGTAACTCGCATTTGTTCACCAGTAGGAGTCGTCAAAGGACAGTTTTTGAAAAAAAATCGTTTTTTTTATTTTTTCGAGCAAATCGCCAAAAGTAGTGAGAAAAAAGGGCTGATTCATAAAAAAAAGTTATCCAACCAATATTTAATGAATTTACTGCCATTTTTATAACTGAAAACGTAAGAAATTGATAAATACCAACCCATAATGTTATTTAGATTGATTTTTTCTATTTATTATCATTATATTTCCCTACACTAAGAACTTTTTTAAAATTATTATGATTTCTCACTCATAATGAATATGAAAACAACACATAAATTCATAAAAAAACAACAAAACTTTAATCGGAATATACAGAAGGTTATGTAACATATTTCAAATTTCGCTTCAAAAAATTAAATAATCTTCATTTATATTTTTTTGCTATATGACAGAAATGTTGAAAATAATAATTATTACCGTAAACACGGGTGGCTTTGGCTCACTTTCAAACTTCAGCTTAAAATTTTTGTGGTTTTAACAATCATAAACATTAAATTTTGTATACCAAAATTTGAGTCTTGAGTTGCTCTTTCATAATAACTATGTTATAATATTACATAGGGCTGAGTTTCAAAAATAAACATTAAAAACTGGGTGTGCAAAGTTACCCCCTGGTTGCGGGTTACTTTGTCTCACAGTGTTTTTTCAGTATAAAATGAATGTAATATTATATTTTATTTTTATCAGACACGTGTTAGCAGCGATATATATCTATTGCAAGGGATTACCAATAAAAAAAATAAAAAATCGACCTGTAGTTAACCAAGGATCATCATTCCAATGGCTTGCGCATAATATAGAAATTGTAACGCGTGTATTTCTAGAGTTTTGCACTGATACGATATATACAATTTTAAAGTGTAATAAATCCCATTTCTTTGTTTAAAACACTGATTTTCCTGTAATATAAACTCAATAGAATCGCTCAATTGACAGGTTTAGACCAACAAATTAAAAATGTTAATTTTATCGAGCGCGAAAAGATTTTTCATAAATGGGTTAAAGTCACCAGCGGGGTGCAAAGTCACCCGTATTTACGGTATTCGATTTTTAGAATAATTTGAAGATGACTAGTAAAAAACGTCACAAAAAATATTTTATAAGGTTTTTAATCAAATAAAATATATTGTTTTAAAGTAAAGAATATTTACTAAATACCAATACCAAATAAAATAAATGAAAAAAGTGCTAAGAAAAATAAGTGAAATGTTTTCAATAAAAAAAAATATCCTGTTTTAAAGCAAATATAAATTATGAAATAAAAAGTGTTTTACACATTAACATTGCAAGAAAAATGTAAAAATTTATTTATTACAAAATTGGAATTTAGGTTTAGTTTCCAAATAAAAACCCAAAATTGGCCACCATGTAGCCAACATTGAATAAAACAAACTAAAATTGTGAAAAGTGGTTTTCTAATGCTTTTGGGATGTTTCAATCCCGGGCCATTTCATCATCAGCAGCATGCTGCAGTTTGAGTTTCTGTTATGGACTGTCCTTGAAGATCATTAGCTTCCTTATCTCGGCACATTTCCTGCACAGTGCAAAAAGAAAGATTTTGATTAATTTTATTTTTACAATTTTATTTTAATTTCTTACACTGCAGTACTTGATTTCTTTGTGTTTCTTCCTGGTTTTGTCCTATTTCTTGTACACTGTAAAAAGAAATTTTATTATTTTGTTTTTTCCTATTTTATTTTGATTTCTTACCAAGAACTTGATTTATATTTTGATAGATCAGCTGTTAAGTGTAAAATTTAAACCATATCCACTTTTAAAGACTTTTTTATGGGAATGTAGTTGTATGTTTTTTTCGATTCAATTTTCTTTCTTATAGAAACTATCTTTATAACTATGACTTTAAAAGCAAACAAATCTATGGTAATAAAATATTTTCTTTTGTTGATTCACAAACGTCTAATTGACAAGTTCATTAATTCAGGTCATAAAATATGGCTCACAACTGCACTCTTCCAGAAGATAAAAAAGAAAAAAGTGGGCATGATAATAATTGGAGAAATCTAATTTTAATAAGTGAAGCACATCCAAGAACGTCAGAGATTTTCCAATCGAAAATGGACATACATTCAGAAAGGCAAAGACATCTAAAGTCTAAATATAAATTCATGATTCACCCGTTTAGTAAATTCAAGATTAATTATGATATTTATTTTCTCTTTGCAAGTATTATAAGCTCACTTGTTTGCGTGGAAATAATGAGGATTTACCCTTATGAAACCCTAACAAGAATATACGTGACCGCGTTTGCGATTCTACATTGTTCGGATGTGATTATGTCCTTTTTTACTGGAAGAATCAAAGGAAATCATGTTGAAATTAATATAAAAAAAGTTTGCCGTATGTACTTGAAATCGACTCTTATAACAGACTGTATATTTGCATTTGCAATATTGATTGTAAATTGGTTTGCTAATGAGAAAGAAGAATGCGATGCTATTTTGAAAGTTTTGGTATTCTTGCAAGTTTTTAGCATTCCTCTAAGAATTGATAAATTTATACTGGCAATGGAGTATTTTAGGATTCGATCTAAAAGTTTTTATTCTTGCATTTTTGGATTAATATATTATTGGTGGGTAGTTCACATGTTATCACTTTATGAAATTATGGTCACAAAATTTGTAAGACATTTTAATTATAATGACGAGACCTATTTCAATGAATCGGTGGCCTTCAGATATGGTTATACGAATATGAATAGGTTTAATAGAGCTTTATATGGACACGTTGAATGTTTTTTCTTGTCCATGACAATGATTATACATGAATATTATGTTTGGTTTGAAAAAATCGTTTGTTTTTTGGGTATGCTTTTGACCTCTTTTGCTCATTTATTTATGGTTATACTTATTCTCCTGTATTTTCTATCCAAATCAGAATCAAGGACAAAATTCGACAGTCTTATAAACCAAATCGAGAGCTACGCCGAAGATAAAAAGTTATCAAAACCAGTTAAAGACCAAATCCTACAATTTTATAAATATAAATTCAGAAATGGATATTTTAACGAAGCCAACATTATGTCAATGTCATGCGCTGGTCTTGTAGAGGACATGCACAAGCATATTTGTAGAAAAGTACTTAAAATACCACTATTTTCTTCATTAACCCAACAACAAATTGGTTTAATTTTAAAATATTTCGAAATCGAACTTTACATGCCCAACGACATCATTTATAATTATGGCTCAATAGTAGAGTACATATTTTTTATATCGAGCGGTACCGTAGCGGTGTATACCAGGTCTGGCATAGAGGCTTTTCACTTGGAAGATGGAGATTTTTTTGGATGGGTGGATGTTTATGGTGGTGCAGTTAGACGAGAAACCACCATCAATGCTTTGGAGATTACGGAAATATTTAAGATACGTTATCAGCATACTTTTGATAATTTTAATAATTTTCCTGAAATTCTGCGTTCAATGCATATTGAATATACAAAAAGAAGGTTAATTGTTAAAGATTTGGAAAAGAAGTTTAAAGATAGTATCATGAAGACTAAATTTAATTCAGTTGCAGAAAATCGAAACACTTTAACTATAGATAATAATGATTGATTAATGCATTTATAAATAAATAAATTTTGTATGTACAAAATATATTTTAATATTAATAGTTATTTGTGTTAAATTTTTTTATCTGTTTGGAATTTATAATAATTAATATAAAAAATACAAAATCTTCTGTATTAAATGGTAAGGTAAATATTTTTTTTAAAAACGTATGTTACTTTGAGACTTTTTAGTTTAAATATTAGTCAAGTCTTTGAACACAATTTGTGGAGCAAATTAAATTTAGTTTTCTCTTTAGCGTCAATATAAAGGTGTTTTTAGTAAAAATATTTATTTTCAATTTTTCGAAGAAAAGTCACTTCATAATTTCTTCTGCTTGTTATATAAATACCATTCACGATGAGAAACTTCTATTTTGTTATTCAGGGTGCGCAAAAAAATACAATTTTTTTAAAGGTCTAATAATATGAAGAGCTTGTAATAGGAGAAACCAAAAAGCCAAATAAAGTTTTTTCATGTGAGTTGTTACTAAGATATTTGTTATTAAAAACAAAATCGATTCAGGTCCTAACTTGAAATTGACTGCTATATGATTTTGTTATTATGAATCAAGGTTGTTGCTTTCAACTGACATGTCTACAATGTCTACAATTATTTGTTAACAATTCTGAAAACTAAAATCTTAAATTTTTAATATCAAATATCTAAGTATCAAAAACTCATATGAAAAAACTTCATTTTTGATTTCTCCTTATATTGGCGCTACAAAAAAATATTTAAAACTTTTTAATTTTGAAAATCTGTATTTTTGCTCACCCTGTACAACAAAATGGATGTTTCTTAACGGGAATTGTATTTATATAACAAGCAAAAGAAATTATGAAAAATTACTTTTCCTCGAAATATATGTGGACACACTGTGTATTTGAACTCATATTTTGTGGAGGAAATTAGAAAATTTAGTCTTCTCTTTAGAGTCAATGTGAAGGTTCTTTTGGTGAAAATTGCCTTTAAAAATTTGCCCGAGCGTTTTTATATTAAACTCATTAATATGGTTTTATATGTAGCTTAGGTGTACTTGGTCAGAACAATCTACTATTTTTTGTTACAAAGTTAAGTTTAAATTGTCTATATAACTAGGACACAATTCTATGGTAATCAATGTTAATAATGCTCATATTAATAACAATAAACTGGTGTTATTTCACAAACGTCTAATTGACAAGTTCATTAATTCAGGTAATAAAATATGGCTCACAACTGCACTCTCCCAGAAGATAAAAAAGAAAGAAGTGGGCATGATAATAATTGGAGAAATCTAATTTTAATAAGTGAAGCACATCCAAGAACTTCAGAGATTTTCCAATCGAAAATGGACATAGATTCAGAAAGGCAAAGACATCTAAAGTCTAAATATAAATTCATGATTCACCCGTTTAGTAAATTCAGGATTAATTATGATATTTATTTTCTCTTTGCAAGTATTATAAGCTCACTTGTTTGCGTGGAAATAATGATGGCTTACCCTTATGAAGCCGTAACAAGAATATACGTGACCGCATTTGCAATACTACATTGTTTGGATGTGATTTTGTCTTTTTTTACTGGGAGGGTCAACGAAAACAAAGAAAATGTTGAATTGAATCCAAAAAAAGTTTGCATAATGTACTTAAAATCAACTTTTATAATAGAATTTATATTTGGATTTTCAATATTATTTGTAAATTGGTTTGCTAATGAAGAAGAAGGATGTGATGTTATTTTGAAAGTTTTGCTATTGTTGCAAGTTTTTAGCATTCCTCTAAGAATTGATAAATTTATGCTGACAATGGAGTATTTCAGAATTAGATTTAAAAGTTTTTATTCGTGCATTTTTGGATCATTATATTATTGGTGGATGGTTCACGTGTTGACAAATTATGATATTATGATTACAAAATTTGTAATACATTTTAATTATAGTAGCGAAAACTATCGCAATGAATCATTGGCCTTCAAATATGATTTTACGGATTTGGATAATTTTAATAGAGCTTTAAAAGCACACATGGGTTATTTTTTCTTGTCCATGACAATGAGTATATATGAATATAGTATTTGGTTTGAAAAAATAATTTGTTTTATGGGTATACTTTTAACCTCTTTTGCTCATTTATTTATGGTTATACTTATTCTCTTGTATTTTCTATCCAAATCAGAATCAAGGACAAAATTCGACAGTCTTATAAACCAAGTCGAGAGCTACGCCGAAGATAAAAAGTTACCAAAACCAATTAAAGACCGAATCATACAATTTTATAAATATAAATTCAGAAATAGATATTTTAACGAAGCCAACATTATGTCAATGTCATGCGATGGTCTTGTAGAGGACATGCACAAGCATATTTGTAGAAAAGTTCTTAAAATACCACTATTTTCTTCATTAACCCAACAACAAATTGGTTTAATTTTAAAATATTTTGAAATCGATCTTTTCATGCCCAACGACATCATTTATAATTATGGTTCAATAGTAGAGTACATATTTTTTATATCGAGCGGTACCGTAGCAGCGTATACCATGTCTGGCATAGAAGCTTTTCACTTGGAAGATGGGGATTTTTTTGGATGGGTGGATGTTTATGGTGGTGCAGTTAGACGAGAAACCACCATCAATGCTTTGGAGATTACAGAAATATTTAAGATACGTTATCAGCATGCTTTTGATCATTTTAATAATTTTCCTGAAATTCTGCGTTCAATGCATATTGAATCTACAAAAAGAAGTTTAGTTATTCAAGATTTGGAAAAGAAGTTTAAAGAGAATATCATGAAGAATAGATTTAATTCAGTTACGGAAAAGCGAAACACGATGGTGGTTGTTGATTAATGCATTTATTTATTTTGTATTTACACAATATATTCAAAGATTAATAATGATATTAGTTTTTATTTTTTTATCTATTTAGTATTTATAATAATTAATATAATAAATACAAAGTCTTCTGTAATAAATGGTTGAGTAAAAACAAAGTATGTTACTTTGAGAAATGTATGTGTATATGTAGCTTAGGCGGGATAAAACAAACATTTCTATGGTAATCAATGTTAATAATGCTCACCTTAATAACAATAAAATATTTTCTGGTGTTGATTCACAAACGTCTCATTGACAAGTTCATTAATTCGTAAAATATGGCTCACAACTGCACTCTCCCAGAAGATAATAAAGAAAAAAGTGGACATGATAATAATTGGAGAAATCTAATTTTAATAAGTGAAGCACATCCAAGAACTTCAGAGATTTTCCAATCGAAAATGGACATAGATTCAGAAAGGCAAAGACATCTAAACTCTAAATATAAATTCATGATTCACCCGTTTAGTAAATTCAGGATTAATTATGATATTTATTTTCTTTTTGCAAGTATTATAAGCTCACTTGTTTGCGTGGAAGTAATGACGATTCACCCTTATGAAACCCTAACAAGAATATACGTGACCGCATTTGCGATACTACATTGTTCGGATGTGATTTTGTGTTTTTTTACTGGAAGGATCAAAGAAAACAAAGATGATGTTGAATTGAATCCAAAAAAAGTTTGCATGATGTACTTAAAATCAACTTTTATAATAGATTTTATATTTGGATTTGCAATATTATTTGTAAATTGGTTCGCTGATCAAGATGAAGGATGTGATGTTATTTTGAAAGTGTTGGTATTCTTGAATGTTTTTAGCATTCCTCTAAAAATTGAGAAATTTATGCTGACAATGGAGTATTTTAGTATTCGAATTAAAAGTTTTTATTCGTGCATTTTTGGATCATTATATTATTGGTGGATGGTTCACATGTGGACAAATTATGATATTATGGTTACAAAATATGTAATGCATTTTAAATATAGTGACGAAAAGTTTCGCAATGAATCATTGGCCTTCAAATATGATTTTGCGCATATGGATAATTTTAATAGAGCTTTAAAAGGACACGTTGATTATTTTTTCTTGTCCATGACAATGAATATATTTAAATATGGAATTTGGTTTGAAAAAATCATTTGTGTTTTTGCTATACTTATAACCTCTTTTGCTCATTTATTTATGGTTTTACTTATTCTCTTGTATTTTCTATCCAAATCAGAATCAAGGACAAAATTCGACAGTCTTATAAACCAAGTCGAGAGCTACGCAGAAGATAAAAAGTTACCAAAACCAATTAAAGACCGAATCATACAATTTTATAAATATAAATTCAGAAATAGATATTTTAACGAAGCCAACATTATGTCAATGTCATGCGATGGTCTTGTAGAGGACATGCACAAGCATATTTGTAGAAAAGTACTTAAAATACCACTATTTTCAACATTAACCCAACAACAAATTGGTTTGATTTTAAAATATTTCGAAATCGAACTTTACATGCCCAACGACATCATTTATAATTATGGCTCAATAGTAGAGTACATATTTTTTATATCGAGCGGTACCGTAGCAGCGTATACCATGTCTGGCATAGAAGCTTTTCACTTGGAAGATGGGGATTTTTTTGGATGGGTGGATGTTTATGGTGGTGCAGTTAGACGAGAAACCACCATCAATGCTTTGGAGATTACAGAAATATTTAAGATACGTTATCAGCATGCTTTTGATCATTTTAATAATTTTCCTGAAATTCTGCGTTCAATGCATATTGAATCTACAAAAAGAAGTTTAATTATTCAAGATTTGGAAAAGAAGTTTAAAGAGAATATCATGAAGAATAGATTTAATTCAGTTACGGAAAAGCGAAACACGATGGTGGTTGTTGATTAATGCATTTATTTATTTTGTATTTACACAATATATTCAAAGATTAATAATGATATTAGTTTTTATTTTTTTATCTATTTAGTATTTATAATAATTAATATAATAAATACAAAGTCTTCTGTAATAAATGGTTGAGTAAAAACAAAGTATGTTACTTTGAGAAATGTATGTGTATATGTAGCTTAGGCGGGATAAAACAAACATTTCTATGGTAATCAATGTTAATAATGCTCACCTTAATAACAATAAAATATTTTCTGGTGTTGATTCACAAACGTCTCATTGACAAGTTCATTAATTCATAAAATATGGCTCACAACTGCACTCTCCCAGAAGATAATAAAGAAAAAAGTGGACATGATAATAATTGGAGAAATCTAATTTTAATAAGTGAAGCACATCCAAGAACTTCAGAGATTTTCCAATCGAAAATGGACATAGATTCAGAAAGGCAAAGACATCTAAAGTCTAAATATAAATTCATGATTCACCCGTTTAGTAAATTCAGGATTAATTATGATATTTATTTTCTTTTTGCAAGTATTATAAGCTCACTTGTTTGCGTGGAAGTAATGACGATTCACCCTTATGAAACCCTAACAAGAATATACGTGACCGCATTTGCGATACTACATTGTTCGGATGTGATTTTGTCTTTTTTTACTGGAAGGATCAAAGAAAACAAAGATGATGTTGAATTGAATCCAAAAAAAGTTTGCATGATGTACTTAAAATCAACTTTTATAATAGATTTTATATTTGGATTTGCAATATTATTTGTAAATTGGTTCGCTGATCAAGATGAAGGATGTGATGTTATTTTGAAAGTTTTGGTATTCTTGAATGTTTTTAGCATTCCTCTAAAAATTGAGAAATTTATGCTGACAATGGAGTATTTTAGTATTCGAATTAAGAGTTTTTATTCGTGCATTTTTGGATCATTATATTATTGGTGGATGGTTCACATGTGGACAAATTATGATATTATGGTTACAAAATATGTAATGCATTTTAATTATAGTGACGAAAAGTTTCGCAATGAATCATTGGCCTTCAAATATGATTTTGCGCATATGGATAATTTTAATAGAGCTTTAAAAGGACACGTTGATTATTTTTTCTTGTCCATGACAATGAATATATTTAAATATGGAATTTGGTTTGAAAAAATCATTTGTGTTTTTGCTATACTTATAACCTCTTTTGCTCATTTATTTATGGTTTTACTTATTCTCTTGTACTTTCTATCCAAATCAGAATCAAGGACAAAATTCGACAGTCTTATAAACCAAGTCGAGAGCTACGCAGAAGATAAAAAGTTACCAAAACCAATTAAAGACCGAATCATACAATTTTATAAATATAAATTCAGAAATAGATATTTTAACGAAGCCAACATTATGTCAATGTCATGCGATGGTCTTGTAGAGGACATGCACAAGCATATTTGTAGAAAAGTTCTTAAAATACCACTATTTTCTACATTAACCCAACAACAAATTGGTTTGATTTTAAAATATTTCGAAATCGAACTTTACATGCCCAACGACATCATTTATAATTATGGCTCAATAGTAGAGTACATATTTTTTATATCGAGCGGTACCGTAGCAGCGTATACCATGTCGGGCATAGAAGCTTTTCACTTGGAAGATGGAGATTTTTTTGGATGGGTGGATGTTTATGGTGGTGCAGTTAGACGAGAAACCACCATCAATGCTTTGGAGATTACGGAAATATTTAAGATACGTTATCAGCATGCTTTTGATCATTTTAATAATTTTCCTGAAATTCTGCGTTCAATGCATATTGAATCTACAAAAAGAAGTTTAATTATTCAAGATTTGGAAAAGAAGTTTAAAGAGAATATCATGAAGAATAGATTTAATTTAGTTACGGAAAAGCGAAGCACTTACTAAGGATACTAGTGATTGATTAATTTGTTTAATTTGTATTTCCACAATATATCAAATAATTATATTATTGTTTTTTTAAATTTTTATCGATTTAAAATTTATAATAATTAAGAGCTTCTGTAATATTTTTTTGTAAAAAACATTCTAAATTGCTTTTAAAAACCAAAAAATTACAATACGAATTTAAAAAGTTGTATTTATAAAATGTCATAAAAAACAAAAATGTTTTACCCTGCTGACGCCATACTGTTGTAACCATTAAATAAAGAGTTTTCTGTTATGGACTGTCCTTGAAGATCATTAGCTTTCTTGCACATTTTCTGCACAATGTAAAAAAAGATTTAATTTTGTTTTTGTTTGTTTTTTAAAATTTATTTCAATTTCTTACACTGCTGTACTTAATTTCTTAGAGTTTGAGTTTCTGTTACAGACTGTCTTCAAAGATCATATTATTTTGTTCTATTTATTGTACACTGTAAAAAGAACTATGATTTATATTGTTTTTTCCATATTTATTTTAGTTTCTTACATTTCTCTTTTGATAGATTAGCTGTTAAGTGTAAAGTTGGAACTGTATCTACTTTTAAAGGGGAATGTAGTTTGTATGTTTTTTTGATCCAATTTTCCTTATATAGCAACTATCTATAAATTGAACAAATACAAGCTACAAAAGAAACAAAAATATTAACCTAAATTATTTTTTTATTTATATATCTGTCAAAGATAATCTTAAAAAAAACTGCTATTAAATATCATTTAACATCATACTAAGGAAATGCATTGGATTTACAGTTTTTTTTATTTTGGCATTGTTTTTGCAGATTTTCATTTGGCAGGTAGAATTTTTTTACACTTACAAAACTTTAATATAGCTTAGAAACAACATCAGAGTGTAAATAGTCAATAGAAAATTTGTATAAAAGTTAATTATTTTTAGTGGGAGGATCAAACGAGCACGGACGACGGACAAGCGGCGGAAAGACCCGAGGCCGGCACCAAGATGTACAAGAGTCCATACAGTGAACACATGAAGAAAAAAATACATGAATTACCTTTGCCCTTTCTACTCAAGCGCTATCTCAATTTTTACAGGGACATCTAAAATTTCTTTTTCTAATATGTTGTGCATGTACATTGTACAATGAAAAAGGTGGCCCAAGAGTTATCACATTATTACTGCTTTTGCGCCACCCTTTGATATAATATAAAGTTTAATTTATAGATTTTACTTTTAGTTTTTCAAAAGGTTTGATTACTTAAGGAAACTCATTTTTTTCATTTGCTGTCAAACAAAATCAACAACGAATTGTCACTAATTTGATTAAAAAAAAAACCACATACATTCTCGATTTATTTTCACTTTTGCACATAGACTGGGACAAAAAGAAACATGGAAGTTTAAGGCTGTGATTTACTAGATTTAAATTTAACTCTGCAAAAAAATATTTGACCTCAAATACTAAAACTAAACGTGTCAAACTTATAAAATCATTGGTTACATTTTTCTCTTTTATGTAGGTAAAAACACCCTGTATATGATCAGGTTAATAAATTTGAAATTTCGCAATTTTGACATCTACTTTTAATATTAAGTAATTAAGGATAAAAGATCATTCTTATTGTTAAAAGCAATAATAAAAATTATCCTTTGTCCTTTATTACTTAATTTTGAAGATAAGGTATTTTTAGTTAACAGGGTAGCTGCACTTATACCTCTTTTATTCTATTGTTTTAAATCATTTTACCAGTTTTATTTTTACATTGAAACCATGAAGTCCAAACTCATTTCAAACTCCTTGTGTAGATTCCATGGTTTTATAGTAAAAATTTTACATTTTGATAAATTACTGTTTAAAATGATATTTATCAAATTTGACTTCTACTTTAAAAATAAAACTATATTTGACCAAAACGTTTCAAATCATTGATATTTTAAATTGTCAAAAATATGCATTGAAACTGTCAAAATTGTAATTATCATTGAAGGCCAAATTTAACATTTTAAATGACAGATGACAAAATTTGACGTCTTAAACATTTAAACGTTCAAAATTGACTGCTACGTTGTCAAAAATAAAACAATGTTTGACAAATAAACGTTTCAATCAAATTGATATTTTAAATTGTGAAAAATATACGTTGAAACTGAAAAACTAAATTTAAGGTTTTAATTATCATTTGATTTTGAAACATTTTTGACAGTTCAACTGTAGTCATTTTAAGAAAATTTCAGTCTAAACTGATAAAAATTACCATGTCGAAATTTGACATTTTAAACATTTAGGTTGTCAAACAAACGTTTTAAAATAAATTCATATTTTAAATTGTCAAAAAAATGCACTGGCACACAAATAAATTTAAAATTTTAATTGTTATAAAAGTCCAAATTTTACATTACATAAATTTGGTCAGTTCAACTATATCATTTTTCTCACAAACTACCATTTTAAATGACAGATGGCAAATTTTGACGTCTTAAACATTTAAACTGTCAAAATTTTAATTGTTAGTGAAGGCCAAATTTGACATTTCATATGACAGATGACATTTAAACTGTCAAAATTGACTGCTACGTTAAAATTTGACAAATAAACGTTTCACTCAAATTGATATTTTAAATTGTCAAAAATATGCATTCAAACTGTCAAAAAGTAGATTTAACATTTTATTGTCAGATTTAATTTTAGAATTTTAAGTTTAACTATAATTTTTAAATTTGTCATTTTGTGAAATTCTCACAGAAAATAACAGACGGCAGAATTTGACATTTTGATGTGTCAAAATTTTACCGATACGTTATCAAAACTAAAACAATATAATAAATTATGAAATTTAGGTACCTTTGTCAAAGTTGTAAAATTAAAACTAGTGGTGCAAAACTCATCACACTTAAAATGGTAACCATGATTTAATTTATAAAATATAAGTTAATCCTGTTTTTATGGATGTAGGTATGTAGGTTGTTGTTTTGTGATATAATAATCATTGGATTGTGCCCATCTAAATAGGTTTATTTATTTTTTGAAATGCAAATAAATATAATTGTTGATGATTTTTATTTGCATTTTTAAAAACCCTTGGTTTGTTTCTATAAATATAATTTATGTTTAAGTTTAACTGAATATAGTATGTACTCCATAAAGTTGTTTTATTTTTAAACCACCGTCCTTATAAGAATTAAGCAATCTTTACAAAACATAAATACTTTATTTCGGATGCGCACCACGGCGCACGCGCGAAAACTTTTGTTTCCTCAAATATTTCACGCAAACTTCATAACAAACTTTTCTAAAATGTAATGTAGTTTTGCAGATGATTTCAACAAGTCACATCCATGCTAAAATAACACGAAAAATACACCCAAATATAAATCAAAATAATTAGTCGACTAGTGACAAAAGAAAGTTTGTTTTTTATTTGGCGCGCACCGCGATTTAAAAGTGACAGTTTAAATCGCATCTAGCAGGATTGACAGTGTTTTGTTTCACCTTTGACAGTTGTCAGACGACTTGATTTACTGTGATTTGTGCGAGAGTTGTTCAAGTACAGCGTAGAAGTGCGATGCTAAGATCGTAATAAGGGGCAAGTTATTGATTTTCCACGCGCCGCGAGTAGTCAATTTAACAACTAAACTTCTTCCATATTGGATCATGCTCGGAGGTGTTTGAGCTTCTGAAAGTTTTTTTAATACGCGATTTAACTGCCACTTGCCCCCTTTACTCTCCTCGAACTTTCCAAAGTAGTTATTAACAAGTTCGGTGACCACAAACTGATCTAAAAGAATTTCTGACAGTTGACAGCCAAGTTTAGCGCAGGTTAGTAAAGTTTTGAAAGTTGCAAAGTGCATGCGGCATTTGTTTTATGTTGTTTACGTGCTGTTAGGTTAGGTTATGTTGGTCGGTTGACGTTTGGCGTGAATAAAGCGGGATTAAGTCGGAAAAATAGCTGCTATCTCTACATTTTCTTTGTGCATTTTAGCTTTATATTGACTTTTCCAATGGGTTATTAATAGATGCACTCGAATATTGTCAAATAATCAACGAAAACATCATTTTAACGGGGGTTTTTGCTCGTTTCACACAATCTGCCAACTTTCGCCATAAAGTTGTATTAGCATGGATTTTGTCCTTGTCTACACCTGTTACTGCACGCGTAAAAGATAGAGACCGTGGTATTTTCGTTTTATTGTCGGGAAAAGTTTCGCTACAGTTTTACGATTCCCCGGATTCACGGAAAGTTTCGCAAACTTTTTTTGCTTGTTTTCTCTGCTGCTTTAGAGGTACATCCAGGTTTTTTGCCCGCATTTGCCTCAAACCGTTTATATTTTCCGAGTCTAATGGGATTTTTATTTTAGATGAAATATTAATTTTAACCCTAAGGAAATAATAATAATAATAATAATAATGTGCATTGTTTTTTATAATATTGGAAAATACCTATACCTAGTAGGTACCTACATAGGTTTATCGAATGTTTTTTTTGAATAATCATATGCTATTATATCAGTACGTAGGTAGTTTGCAAACATGCAAACCATGGTGTTTCTTGAGAAAGGTTGAGTGCAAAATAATTGAATAAAATCACGAGATTATTTTTAATTATATGCATGGAACTATTTTCCAAAAAGAAAAATCAAATAAAAAAATTTACTGAGCAGAGTTTGACACGTGTATTTCGAGAGGAAATCCTGGGCTGAGTTTTTACCGGTTTTCCAATAAACAGTGTTAATCCGAATGAAGAAATAAATTTCATACAGACCCTGTAAATATAAATTGTTTCAATTAGATACAATAAATACACATTTTAGACTCAAATTTTTAGTGAAATGTGAAAAGTGTAAACATTTCAATTCAGTAAAAATCGTCAAACAAATAAGTCGTCTAAATTCAGACAGCTTTAGCATTATTAAAAGCTTTGATTAAGAATTCTTTAAAGTCTCCACTCAACGGTAAAATACCATTATATTATGTATTAGGTATATAATATTATGTTGCCATGAATTCGTAGGTTTAAAATGCAGTTGTCCGCGTTTTTTAGAGGACTCAAATATAAAATGATTGATTTTAAGGTTATGTTATGCAAAAATTACTTTTTACTAATTTCTTAAAAATGTCCAAACTTAAATATAAATAGGTATATGAACTAATGATAACTTTACCTAATATAATATTATATTAGGTAAAGTTATCATTAGTTCATTCTGCACCAAAAAATGTACTTACCGAATTGTATCCTTTGGCAAAACATGAAAATGCAACGATTTAGTTCTTAAATTTTATTTACAATTAAAAACACAATAATTCACCATAATCCCTTGAAAAAAATACACACACTAACGTAACTATATAAGCATATAAGCGTTGAGTTTCTTAATCAATGATATAAGGAATAATCAATCGAAATCGAGTACTAAACCAGTTTTTTAGTTTTTTCCTTGCAACGTAAAACACAAATGGGTCAATCTCATGAAAGGTGTTCAAATAGATATAAATTTAAATAAGAAAAAAAATTATATTATATAATATTTGAAGCAATATCGTAAAAAAGCAATTAAAGACGTGTTAAATGACAAATATGGTCAAACACTTTCCCCAATGTTTTTTCAAAATTTTAAGGATTTTTAAAAATCCTAAATCACGGAGGTGATAACTTTTCACGGATGTGAGAATTACACCATATTTTTGCGATTTCATGCTAAATTGGTCTTTAATTTTGGTTTTTAATATTTACACAAATGATAAACATGTAATTAAAAATAACTTTTATTAATAAACACCCTTAAAGGGAGTAAAAAAGGAACATTTTACCATTTACAACAAAATAACTCGAAATAACATAAAATAACTAGTTTATATTCTATTATTTAACACTCTTAACTTAACTTAACTTAAAATGGTAAGAAAGGAACGTGTTAAAGTTAATAATAAAAAAATCAAGATTCTTATAACACCTAAAATACTTAATTTATGTTACTGAATAAAGACAAATCTGTATTAAAAAATAACTGTTGCCGATCAAGAACTATTACTGGAGGAAGAAGTTCTTGATCGGCAACAGTTATTTTTTAATACAGTAATAGTTCTTTTTCTTAACAAATTTAATTAAGTAGTCATTTGGATAATCTTCTAACTCGGTTGACTGGATAACACCAATGTAATGTTTAACCAGCTTTTTTGTACAAAATTTAACCACTACATAGTCTTTGATTTTTGGTTCCAGATTTGTTAAAATGGAATGAGATGATTGAACATCAATTCCGGTTGACATGACATTGTCTAGATGAATGTCACAGTCAAAATCAGTGGTCCTAGAATGATTTTCTTTTGGTGATAAACAGGAATCAGGTTTTCGGTTTAAAAGTCTAGCTAGAAGCAGATTGTCCTCTTCGTCATCGGACGATGACGAATAAATATTACTGTAAATCAGTCTTCCCTTTGTCAATGTGTGTGCTAATAATCGGTTAAAAAAATAGAAAAAAAAACATAAAAAAACAAAAATAAAATAATTTAAAAAAGGATACATTGTTGCAATTGGTAAGTACCCAAAGAGTAATGAGAACACACTTTGGATGGCGAGCAGCTAAGGCAGGTTAGTTTTCGAATATCCAAAAATGTATGTTGTTTAGACCAAACTACCTCGTGGCACTGTAAAACTCCCTTATATGTTGGCAGTATTTTAGGTATTGTCTCTTCAATTTTCTCAAGCTCTGAATCATCTAAGTGAACTTTAAAAAGAATAATATCTTTACAGTTTGCTTTCAAATGGAACAGGAAAGATTGTAGGTTATGTATGTCTGTTCCTCGAGCAACAATACCATCAGCTGTGCGTTTCAAGACTCCACCTACTCCATCAGGAGCTCCCTTGCCGTGACCTTTCTCGCTATAATGCCACCGCAACTCTTCTACATTTAACTCCTGCGAAATAAAGTTTGCCATTAAGTAAAACATCTTTCTGTTCCGGTATTGGGTTGAGGGCCCGTCACTTAAAAAATGGATGTGTTTTAAATTTTCTACAAAGGTTTTAAGTTTTCTAAACACGGGAAGGAGATGGGCACAAATTGCCACAGGATCATGCCGCAAACTTGGTGACACTGTAAAAAAACATTTCTTTTGAATATCATTGTTAGAGCTTTTATAGTACACAACAACTGTGTGCAAGCTTAACTGCATTTTTGAACCCCCAAAGTGGGCCGACTGAACTTCTTCCGCATACTTGCATCCGTAATTTTCGGAAAAATCCATATGAATCAAAGCTTCATTATTATTCATATTTTCCTTAATTTTCCGAATTTCTCTCATCTGGTGTTCTAAATTTTTTATATGTAAAAGAAATGGCTTCATTAAGCCAATGAACGTTTCATAAACCTCCGCCTTAGTAGACATAAGCTTTTCCTTAACAGTTTTTGTACACAGCTTCTCTTTTCCTTTCACTACTATTGTAACTCGTTTTGTAACCCATTTCTCATACACCATGGTGTCCGCTCCATCAAAATCAACTGTAACTATGGTTTTGTCTTTACAATTTTCGCATTTTCTTTCTAAACATGTTTCTTTTAATACTTCTCCTTCACAACAAATAGTTTTACATACTTCTTCTGGTGAATTTTCTTTTATTATATTTGCTATATTTAACCTTCTAACAAGCAACCACATATTCGTATGAATTAAACAAAGGCAGGTATTTCGTTCATCTATTTTAGGCTGTACAATCCAGAAAGGCCGTAATCGGCAGAAGGTTGTGTAGCTAATCAGAAATTTATTTTCTTTCATAAATTTTCTGTGTAAATTCTTGAGTGTGTCATTTAGTATCCGTTTCTGTTTCTTAACATGTTTTTTTGTAACATAATCGTTTTTGCCAGGGCAGACTCTACTGCACTCATCTTTTTCAAGAAAATTTATTATTTGTTGCCCGATGAATTCCTGTTTTATTAATCTGGTTCTAGATTTATTTTTTTCGGAAGTGAAAACAGATGTGGTTTTCTTTAAATAACTTTTTTGTTTGTACTTTTTGATAACATTGCCGGAAATGCATTTCCAAAATATTCTTTTTTGTGCAGGTTTTGTTAGAACACGATAATTTTCTGTTAACTGTTTCTCTATAACTTCGGAAAATAATAGTTTTTTCTTAACAGCCGGAGAAACGATTTGTCCTTCAATTAGTGCTTCCACTTTTTTTCTAGGCGAATGTATGTTTTTACACAGCTTATTTTTTACTCTTTTCAGTCGCATTCTGTATTTTTCCTTCTTTCTTTTCTCTTTCTTCAGTTTGGCTTTTAACACACTTATTTCTCTATTTAGAGCCTTTCTATGTTTTCTTCTTCGTAGCCTGCCTTGTCTTTTTCTTCCATCATTTCTTGCTTGAAGTCTTTCGTCATATGGGTCAGCTATAAATTCTTCTTGGATTGGCGAGGGGGGTGATGAGTCATCTTGTAATCTAATTTCGACATGTCTTGTATTTTTCTTTCTGTCATATTGAAGTTTACTTCTATTCCTCCAATCTTTTCTTTGATTTCGTTTTTCTCTGTCTGTCATTTGTTCAATTGTTTTAATTTTTCCTGCTTCTTTCCTCTGGTAATATCGCTCTCGTTCTTTACGCTTGTCTTCCTCATATGTCACTGGATCTAGTCGCCTGGATTCACGTAGCCTTCTCATTGCTTCGCGCTGCCTTTTTTTCTGTTCTTCGTGATTAGCCTTTTTATTTTCATTGTTTTTTTCTTTGGAGCGAGCCATATCCTAAAAAATAATGATAATTAATATTTTAATTTAGAGAACTTTTAAAATTTCTCACCTTCGTGAAATAAGGTTCACCTCCGCTTCACGGATTTGAGATTCACGGAAGTGAGGAATTACGGTATTTTTATTTAATAACTTTTTGTCAAAATGCCTTAAATGAATTATTTTTTAAACAAGTTAACTGTCAGTAAAATGTCACTTATTAACACAAAATTTACCTAGTTTTTTTGTTTACTTACCAAAAAATTTCAATTCACGGATGTGAGAACAACAAAGTGTCCACGTGGGTGCACCAAACTATAATTAAAAAAATAATACGTCTGTTCACCTTAAACCATTAAAACCAACTGAACGGAAGGGGTCGCGACACGCTATAAACTTAGTTTTAAAAACCACGCCACAAACTAAAATATTTCGCCATCTATGAGTAGAAAAAGCTACACCAAAGCATACTTCACGGAGGTGACATTTAGATTTCGGAACAGTATTTAAGGCATAAACTAGTAAATTTGATGAATTTTTAAAAGAAAATTCTATTGATATTTTCATTACAAATAATTTTTGTGGACATGTCGGAAAAAAATTTCATAATTTTTAACTTTTGTGGTAGATTTAATGTAGTCTAAAACCGGCGATGGTAAAAAAGAACAGTCACGGAGGTGAGGTTTTCAGATGTTTTTTGATAATAAAAAAAATTCAAAAATTTTGAACCCATCGTTTTTAATAGTTATAAATAATCATTGGCTTTTAAAGGGTGAACCTAATATCAACAGATTGATTTGTCATTTTTTACATCATTTTTTAAACATGTACATAAGATTTTCATCTTTCATGAGAACCACCCAAATAACGTGCGCGATTTAGCTGTGCAATTGAAAAAAATTTGTCGAGTAAGAGTCTTACTGTAAGACTTTTTTTAAAAAACTACCTACACATTTATTTAAAAATAATGTGCAGTTCGTATGCTTTAAATGTATTGTTGACAATTCTTAAATTCACACAATGCTATCGAACTCCACCAGATGGCGCGCGCGTTGCTAAAACCCGTTAAATTTATGAACAATTTTTTAAACAAAATTCCCAATTAATGTAAAGGTATACCTATAGGTAATGTAATAATTAAAAATTGATATTTCGTAAACTAGATAGGTAACTTATTTTTTACTGTTTTTTAAAAAATGTATGTTAAAACTTGTAAAATTGTAAACAAAAATCCTAAAATTTAATCTCTGTTAAATAGTTTTAGTGATTTAATCGCCTATCTAAACAAAATTTATTCGAAAATTCAAAACTTTTGATTGGTTCATCCATAGAAATAATACCAATAAATACTAGTATTATTTATATAGGTTCATCAATACAAAAACATAGTTAGGCAATAAAAACTAGTTTAAGCTTAAGATAAAAGTTTAATCAAACCGTTTGGGTATTAAATTCGACAACATTTTACACAAGCATCGGTGGTTCAGTGGTAGAATGCTCGCCTGCCACGCGGGCGGCCCGGGTTCGATTCCCGGCCGATGCACACTTTTTTTAAATTTTATTTGTTGGTTTCTTTTATTTTAGTATTAATTGATTTTGCAGTAGTTAAAAATTGTATAAATGCTTAATAGTATTTGCTCAATTTTTGGCTCAGCACAAAAAGACTCACTTTTTGACCTGTTGGCATAAATAACCTCTGAATAAAAAACCTTTTTTATTTTTTGTTTTTTATTCAAAGTAAATAACTATTAATTTAAATAAGTATGGACGATTTTTAGTAGCTAAAATAAATAAAGAATCAATATAAAATTAAACAAACCAAAATCAGGTTAACAACTAAATTTAATTACAAAAAACGAGAAGTCGAGTCTTTATTTGAATACCTTTCGTTAAAAAAGCAGTGCTTAGAGAGAGGAGCGGCTCTGAGAGGGGGCGGGAGCGGTGTTGGCGGCGGCAGTGAGTATTTTCGTTAATATACGGCCAAAAGTTTTCAACTTCGCGGCAAACTTTTTATGCTTGTTCCCATCTACGATGTTTGCCAGCGGTTTTAAGGCGGATGAGGTAATTCTATTTACTTTTTAGACTCATCAGTTCGCAAAGTATAAGCAATTTACTTTATATTGTGCCTTCTAACTAATTTTAATTGGGGTTTTGATGTAATTTCACTCCAAAAATTAGCAACTAAGATATAAGGCCCTTATGCTTGGAAATAAGAAAATGATATTCTAAAATTAAATTTTAAAAAAATATTTTTTTCTTACTAATACACTCACAGGCAAAATAATCGATCCACACAAATTTTCGATGAATTTCAATCGCAAATAACTTTTTTATTTGATGTCGGATTTAAACAAATATTAAAGAATATTGTAGATACATTAATGGAGAATCGCTCACATTTTTGTAACACTTACATAAATGGTTATAAAAATATTTCTTTTTATTTTTAATAATATTTTATATTTGATTCGATTGCTTTGTATGTGTTTAATTTACTGAGTGAACTGATATTTTAGTATGCTTTTACTACCTCAGATATTTGAAAACATATAGGTTAACCTAGAAAGAGTAACAGTCACGGAGGATAGGTTTTAGATTTTTAAAACAATATCTACTTAAAATCACAATAAAAGTATAGCTTTATATAATTTTATTAAAAATACTTACATAACAAAATAAAACGAAGAAAAGTGGTTTCGTTTGAGGAAGAAACTTAAAATAAAACATGTGTAATATTGAAAGGAGCCCTTGCTCCAACATCGAAGTTGCCTTTGTTCCAATCAGTATTCAGTTGTTTACTTCGATATCAAAGTCTCATTGTTTATAAAAGTTTTCAAACTACTTTGGAAAGTTCTGTAATAAGGTATTGATTTTGCCATGGCTGCTTCCACTTTTCCATCCTTTCCTTTACTTGCCTGGAACCGTACCTAAAGTATTGAAAACGCACAAAAATGAGACAAATTTTATTTTATAAATTTAAAATCAATATCCTAAAATTAAACAATGGAATATAAAAATGTTTTTCTACTCCGACCTTTAAAACGCCTTTTATCGTACATGTTTCCATGACACTAAGTGACCTTTTAAATACACATTGACAAGTTGTGGCTTTATGGCGCTTTAGTCACGGGCTGAAGTTAGCAACAGGTTTTTAGTCACGGGCTGAAGTTAGTTTTAAGTTAGTTGACAGTTGTCAAATATCATACAATCGTTAAAATAAATTGCCTTTCTTGTAAAATAATACTAAATGTGAAAATTATATTATTATCTCAATACAAAAATACAAAAGTATTAAATAGTTTCTCAACGCCAATATTTGAAAAGTTTATATGAACATTGTACTGACCTTTTAATTTCGCCGGCAGTAAACTATAACTCCACTGTAAAGTGCTCATAAAACATTTTCTTTACTTTCACTGTGAAAAACTGTCAATTTTCAAGAAATACATTTCGATTTATAACCTTTATAGTTGTGTTTATAAAATTTAAAAATTTGACATTTGACGGTGACACACAGATTCCCCTATTGTTTCATAGATGGCGCTCTATACAAATTTTTGATTTAAATCATTTTAAGATAATAATAAGTATTTGTCGTAGAAAAAGTATATAACTTTTCTATACACTCATTAATTTAAGCACTCGTTCGCAAGCTCACTCGTGCCTAAATTAAATTCGTGTATAGAATGGCCTTTATTAAACTTGATACATAATATACTATTTTAGGTTTAGAAAAAAAATACGATAAAAAAATTAATTCGCCAGTTTTGTAAAATATTAAAAAATGGCGAATGCACTAAAAATACTAATAAAACTAAATTTATTTTTTCTACTTGCGTATCATATTAAGCGAATCTTTTTAGTGAAGTTATCTTTTTTTAAATGGTCGTGTTCCTTATATCACAAAGATCAAATTAAACGAATTGTGATTGGTCAGTCAAAAATCGAGTGTGCTTAAACCACTCCCACGAGTACGAAAAAAATGACGTCTTATGACATATTAGTTCTTTAATAATAATAATTTTGGTATTAAATATGAATATAAATTGTATTATTATATTTAGAACATTAATATTGACCAAAAAATCTTAAGATTTAAAAATGCGAGGCATTTTAATATTTTTTTTGTTTTTAATACTTTTTTCTTTAATATACAGGTTGTTTCAAAAATGGCACACTAGATATTTTACGTAGGCATAAAAAATACAAATTTCATATTTAAGTTTAAAAAAACTTGTCAATATTATGTGTTTAAAAAAATCTTTGTTATAATAAAAAACTTTTTTTTTTAAACATCATGACGCGTCATTATAAAAATGTTTAAACATATGAATAAATAGTAGAAAATAATAATAATAATAAAAATTAAAAACAAAAATCATGGTATAGTCATTTGCCAAATTAATAATATTAGTTAATTTTTAAGCATTTTTATCAATTTTCTTTTTCAGTTTCAAACATGAGCAGACCAAAGAAAAAAACTCATTCAATAGACAATATTTTGGAAAGACCGTCCACTTCAAGACACAAAACTCCGAGTCCACCCCTGAGAAGGTACCATATGTGCCCGCCAAAAAAGGTAAGTACCTACCTAGCACTAAAAAAAAAATTAACCAAAAAAATACTACAAAAGCTACAAACCCAAACAATCGATTTATAAGGGTTGAATTCAAGCAAACTTTAGTCTGCGTGGTTAAGTTCATCCCCCTACATATAGATGGCGCAATCTGTATTACAATACAAATATACCGCTTATTAGCTATATTTTGTATAGATGACTTTGTTTTCTTTTTTGACGGGAAATTTGTTGATTTGCCGTATCATTTTTACTTATCCGCATAGTCAGTTCATAAGTGGGGGATTTAAAATATATGATACCATAGACATAGTAATACGTCCACGTATAATACGAATTGTCAACTAAATAAAATTTCTCTAATTTCTATGATTTGGCTTTATAAAAATTAAAAGGTGGCGTAATATGCATATTATGTAAAAGCCACTAAAAATCTCGTAAAAAAATTATTCAGCAGAAAACAAACAAAAGGGTTAATTATATATTATGTTATAAAATCTAAAATATTATCGTTTTTGTTTAATATTTAATAAAACTAAATAAGTTTGACCCACACTTTTATTGTGTTTTGATCTTAGTAGATATTACAGATCAGATTTTTAACCGCAATTAAGTATTTTTTACAATGTTTTAAAAGTCTAAAACCTATCCTCCGTGACTGTTGCTGTTTCTAGGTTAACCTATATGTTTTCAAGTATCTGAGGTAGTAAAAGCATACTAAAAATATCAGTTCACTTAGTAAATTAAACACATCCAAATCAATCGAATCACACATAAAATATTATTAAAAATTAAAAGAAATAATTTTTATAACCATTTATGTAGGTGTTACAAAAATTGATTCTATCCTCCGTGAATCTGTTTTTGCTTTAAATTTTATGCAAATTTTAAATAAGCAAAAACCTCTGTTTACGACATTATAGATGCATGTGATTCCTGAAGGTCAGTTAGAATTTATATGCAGATGAGAGTGTTGCTGTTTTATAATTCAAAAGTTTAAGTTCATTAATTTGCTATTTAAAGACCAATCCACCGTGAAGTGTAATATCTCAGTAAGTAGATTTTTTTATAAATATTTTATGTATGTACAAATGTATTTTTAAAAAATATTAAGCTGTCAAAACTAATTTCAAATATACAAAGGGATGTTTAAAAAAACATACGAAATCCTAACCTCCGTGAAGCTATCTTCCGTGAAGCTCTAATATTCAAAATGTATGATTTCTTTAAATTCTTGCATTAGTGCAGAACCACTTATGTTATATTTAAGGCCCGGATTTTTAGGTCATAAAAAAGTGATAAAAGGTTCTTAAATTAGGTGATATTTTTAATAAAATAGGTTATTATTTTAGGTACCTATATTTTAGGTACTTAATTAAAAAGTTAATATTGGTTGGCCCGTATTTTTAGGTTATAAAAACGTAAAAAAAATGTAAAAAAATATTTTAGGTGCCTACATTTTAGGTACTTAAATAAAAAAATAAAAGCTGATTTATTGAAATAAAATGTTTTCATTATAATGTCGATATCGTTAAAACCATACATAGGTCTTATGTAGTTTTAGTTACATTATAATTGCTCTGTTAATGTCCGGCAATAAAGGATTTAAATTAAAAATGAAATAGTTATTAAAATAATATTTATTATTAATATTGTAAATAAAATTAAATTAGGCACTTCCCTGCTGTAAATTTTTTTTTTTAAGGTGCCTAATTTAATTTTATTTACAATATTAAAATCCCACTGCTAAAATGGATTATACAATTAAACGTATTTATTATTAACATTAACTAAACAAAAATGTTTGGTTGGAAAAATAACAAATAAAATAAAAGATTCTTTAAAAAAGTAAGTATCACAAATAATGTAAAATAGCAAAAAAAACATAATAGGAACTCTAAAATTACAAAAAAAACAAAATAGGAACTCTAAAATAAAAAAAATAAAATTTTATGATTAAGAGTAAAACTTAAAATTATTAGGTATATTTTGGGTAAAAAAAGTTCATTTTAGGTATTAAAAATACAATTTAGGTGCAAAAAAAGGAAAATAGGTGAAAAAAATATAAAAAAGGTATTTTAGGTCAAATAAAACTTAGTCAGATGACTCCATTTTTTATAAAACGGACAAATACAAAAAAATATCTTTAAAACCCAAAAAACCAACAAAAGGTGTTTTACCTAAAATCCGGGCCTTAGTTATGTTATTACTAGACCTGGTGGCTTCCCAAAAACCCCATTTTGAAACAATACAAAAAACTCAATTTTTATGAAAAATATAGATACCCATTTTCTCCATCAGGACGGCACTATAGAGCAAAATATTGTTTTCTGTTAAAACTAACATGTCTACCGTAAGTCTCCAGTCGTAAATTAATAATTTGTCCCCTGCCTGCTGCGTGTCACGCTCATTCTTCTCGCAGGACGAAGGTCTCAGGACCCGGTCATACGGCTAATAAACGACCCTGGCACACTATGACCCAACGAAGGCGACCCGTGACGCCGAATTAATTAATATCAATTATTAATTGCTGCGAAAAACTACTTTATAAAGTTCCTCGACATGTTCTAAAAACGCTCGTCCCACTACGCATGCAAAATTTAGATTGCATCAAATATTTATGGCAAGAAAAATAATTATATTGTGTTCTGTCCGAAAAGGACATTTTAAATTCATGGCCGGTTTATGACCTGGACATATACAAAGCATTATAAAAATATAAAATGGCAAGACAAAATAAAATCATACTTTTTACACAAATACCATATGGAAATAACTTAATTCAGAAAAAGTGAGGTTGGAATATCTGGCCAAAACCCGGGTACTCACAAATGGCAGTAAACATTTTTCGAACGCGCTTTAGACAGTGTTGATCACGCGATGTTCTTACATCTCGCCTCTGTTCGCTAACTTGGGCAGTATATAAGCTCAGGTAGTCTTTTGTTTTAGGTGTGTTACAAAAACTTTGACGAGGCGAATGTTCAATTCCTCTTGAATGATACCAGTATTGGGTCAAGAAAGTTTCTTGGAGAATAAAATAGTTATTTATGTCATTAGGTTAAGAAGTAAGGCTTTTTGTGCTAAGCTCAAATTGAGCGAAGCACAAAAAGGTACTTCTTGGCCGAATGGCATACAACATTTTATCTTTAAAGCACTTTATATAGGTCAATTTAATTCAACATCAAAGCGGCCTAACCTCACTTTTTTAGAATCTCATTTATGTATTAGCTAAAGATGACATTAAATGTACAATAATTGTTATTGCTTTCAGAAGCAGTAATAGTTTGACAATACCTAGCAACATGATTTAAGTAGAAATGGATTTTTGCTATTACATTGAATTCAATTAATTGTTTAATAAATAGGTAGGTATCTAATTTCAATTTGTTTGGATTTTTATTTAAAAAATAGGTAGTTTGGAATGTTTAAGCTGTGTTTAACATTTAATTTCACTGAAAACTTAAAGCAAATTAAAACTTAAAGATAATTTAAATCGTAGAAAAAGAATCGTGCGTTTTCTTGTTTGCCTAACCTCACTTTTTGTTTTATTATTCATATTTAATTTTACAATAATTTAATGAAAAATATTAAACATTAACAGTAAAACAAACAAATCAGTGGTTATTATAAATAAATTAAACCAGTTTAGTACGTTAATTTCTTAGAAAAGGATTAATTTGTCAAAACAATACCCCTAGCGAGAAAAAATCGAACTAATTACTTGCCTCATAAAATTTTTTATCGGCCTACGCCATAACAAGGTATCGAATGTTGACAACAATAAAGTTTAAATTATAGACCGCGTGGAGATAAAATCTATTAAATTTTCCCATAATAACAATAAGCATAAAATTATGCAAAAGCAGTGTTTCGTTTGAATAGTTTGAATATGCCATAAACTCCCGTGATGTCATTAATCCCACCATAAATATTCGATTGTTTGGTGATTACGGGTATTTTTCTCGACTGGAAAAATTCTGCCACTTTATCTGTCTCGCTTATTACAATATTTATATAATAAGCTGTTATTATTTTACCGGTAGAACGAAAAATACCGAAACGGCGTATTAAATATTTAAATTGATGATTAAACGTTTGGCGTAGTGTAATTTGTTTTTTATCGGGCTCCGTGTAATTTTATTGCCGTGATAGTTTCTGTCTGTAATTTTTCTTTTATTATTCAGCAGCTTTTATTTAAATTGAATTTGATAAAAAACACAATTATATACATTAATATTTATTAGTGACATAAATACCAGATTTATTAATATTATTCCCTCAATTTATTATCATTTTAATTAATTATTTATTAAAATAGGAAAATTTCGGGAACGTGTATGGAATTAATCTAGTTTTAAAACTAAAACATGCCCTATTAGATAACCAAAGTTAAATTAAAACTATAGTTTTAATCTCGAGATCGCTGGACACCGCATAACATGTCCTCAAATATTTGACTTCAGCATTCCCAAAGTTTGCCTTTTTTAAATTATTATTTTTTCCTTTCTTTATATTAATGTCAAAAGTTTTAAATTGCAAAAGATCATTTTTATAAAAATTATTTATCTAAAAACCCTGCTTTCAGTAATAACATTTGCATTAATTATAAATTAAATTTACGTTATGTTTATAAAAATAACACTCTTGCAGATGCAGAAATGCATTGATAAATATAGTTATTATGATTTGTCCAAAAAACAGTTCTATACCGTTTACAAAAACGTTTTGTAGTATTAATGAAACCCTAATGGTATTATTCATAGAAATTTTGTAAATTTTACAAATCCCTTTTAGTTTAAAATAAAACTTTTTTTATATAAGTATTAATAAAATTTATGTAAATTTAATAAAAAATTAATTGTTAATTCAATAAACTATTTTCATTGTAACAATGGTCACATTTTCAACCTACTGTTGGGTAGTTTTTTTTAAATAATTGTAAGGCATTAAAACAAATTATTTATTATAACAAAAAAATTATCTCATATTATATGATGTACAAA